GGGGGGGAGTCTTAACAGGATCCATCCTTACGCACATAAAGCCTAGGTTATGGCAACTCAAGACACCAAGGTACCAAAAACTAATGCTACGAGTGGTAGAGGAGTGGGGTTGATGACACGAACCCAACAAAAGCATGACATTGGCGCGAGAAAAATCAGGACTGTTGATAATTATATCCTATTATGAAACAGTCTATGCAAATGTCGTGGACCAGTTCACGCACCGTCAATTAAGAGCTAATAGATAGGGTGTGGTAACAGATGACGTTTTTTTGTCAAAGAGGGCGGACAATTTACGGATATCCGGCAGTACAGAAGACTTCAAGTACGGTACGATACAGTAACAAAGCGATCCTACGTACATTAGTGACGATCTCGGCATACAGTAATCCTTCCTGTCGGTATCTAGTGCAAGGACTACCCGATCATGGATCCCTGATCGACAAGCATTCGAGAACACCCAAAATTGCGAGAAAGTATCGCACGCTGGATACCAAAGCGGCTTTCATCGGAGGTCAGGATATTAGCATCGATGAGGAGGCAAAGCAGGCCGCCCGGTGCTAATTAAAAGCTGGAAAACCACTTGTCCACACCTTAAAAACCATCCTTTACTCTTTTGGTCAAAACCCCAAAGTATTTGCTTGATTTGAACGTCTCTAGTGTATGACACTTCCTTCCAGAGACGGACCTTCGAATAGTATTATCACTGTTCCACCTCACCTGATCAAATGGAAGAGAATTAATCTCCTTGAGCGCAGCTACAGCATCCTTCAGATCCTCCGTCAAGATTCGGATGCAGTCAGTGTGATTACTAGTTATTTGAGCAAGCCGTAAGGCTTGATGAGGATAACCCGCACGTCGCAGAACATTGATACAGGGGTAGAACTCCGAACTCACTTTCGCTTGACTGGCCAGTCTCTGCAAGCAGTTCAAGGGGAGGCAACAATGATGAAGGAGAAATAAGGCTACCTAGAAGGTGACAGATAAAAGTAGACTGACATCAAGAAAAGCGTCAATTCGTTCCCTATCGTCAAGGCGAGCGTAGCTGTTAAGAAGTAGGGCTGTGTGGTCTTTGGTAAGACGGCCATGAACCATACTACCGGATTCGATCAGAGCCTCCAAGTACCGCACCAGATGGGTAATCAGACCGCTTTCTAGGAACTGGGGGTTAAAGAGGAAGAATAAGGAGGGATTTCTTGCTTGTTTTTTCTTCAGTTTATAATTAATGGATATGAAGAGCAAATTGGCGATACTGTACTACCCCATGTGTTATCCACTACCTTCCTCCCAATTTGCACCTCGAAATCTCTACAATGCATCCCAACTGACACAATCCACTCTCTTTTGGGAGAGGAAGAATGACAATTTGGGTGGGTAGTTTTAAAACAACTCATTATCTCATGATGGTGAAAACAGCACAGTGACCAAAAAAGGGCTAAAGGAAAAAAGAACGGGACAACCTGTATTCCAGGTAGGGACTTAATGACGTGGGCATTTCAGTTCCCCACAATTTGACAATTACCTAGGTCTTGTGACATTCTGTTCCTACCACCTGCGCTTGTGGTCTCTCTCCGGCCCCTTCATGCGTTTGTAATAAACCTACTTCCAAAACCACGAGCTATTACGCCCCCAGAGATGACTCTGACATTCCATTTTTAAGAACCATGTGAAAACGTGAGAAAGTAAAACAATAAATAGGGGTTAAATTCAAAGCAATAAGTCTTGCAAAGTACAGAAAAAAAGAGCGTTACCCTCAAGACAACATAGGAGGCTTCAACCGTTCCTATAGTTTGAATGTACTCCTTGACAGCAAGATCATACTGCTTTTGACTACGAAACGGAAAAGGTTCGAGGTAAAGTGCGCCTTACTTGAAAAGATGATCTGCATATCTCCTATGTATGTGAGCTAGCTCCTCCTCACTATAGTTATCCGACTCAGCTATCCTAAAAGCAAGCAAGATTGGAGACTCTTTTGAAGTTTTTTTATGCAGTGACAGTGTTCACACCGGCGTCATACTTACCCAAGCGCAAGATTGAAGCTCTTTCTCGCGAACAATATGTCCAGCCTTGATTGGGTGTCTTTCTCAATTAACTCCACAATCTAAAGCAGAACTATACCTACTTAAATACTTATCAGTAGCGACCGTGTTGTAAGGATGAATAAAACAACCAACTTGCCTTCACTTTGGAACCCTCCTCCACACAGAGCACAAAGAGACCGCCAAAACCCGTAATGATGGAGTGAGCCCAAGGGAGAAAAAATTCACCTCCAATAAATTTATTCCTGTACTCAAAGAGAGACACTGATGATTGGGCATCTGGGAAGTCCAACTGATTGGCCTCTGGTCTGTAGTCAAGGAGGAAATGCATCGGTGTAGTAGCCATGGAGGATTGTCAAGACCAAACTAACTGGACTAACCTGTTACATCTGATAGAGACGAGGTAATTCTTGTACACAGCGATGGCTTGCTTGTTACCTACAATGGCCAGACAAGGTCCTCTTCCATCCAGATCATAGAAGTATACGGCCTGAAACAAAAAAAAATAGAATTTTTGTAACCAGAGTAGAAAGCCTCCTGAAACATGACGCACCCGTAGTTATGCTATTAATTATCAAAAAATTAACAACTTTAAACCACTTCTGGGTAATGGGTCGCCACCATGACCTCGCCAAATGCTGCACAACTAATCTAGCGAGAATCTTCAGCCTACTTAGAATCAAGGCATACTTATTTTGTAAAGTAAACCGGTCAAAACCACGTCTAATGCGTCCAGTGAACATTATAACATGCAGAGATAGGCTGCAAATAGGAAGGCAATAGAAAACACAGTTAGTAGTACTTTGGCAACAGATTGGTAGATTTTGTTGTGTATTGCATCCACAAGGACTGGCAACTCGCAGAACATTTATGACAATCTGCTCACTTTTCAAGTACCAGATAAAGGATTGAATATCAAATCACCGTAGAATGCGGACTTTTAAACAGAAGAGGAAGTTAATTCGCACCTCTTTGTGCGCCATAGCGAGGTTTTTTTGATCCGGATTCTCTGGATCCGCAACCAAACACGAGCAATTAGGGCGGCAACCGAAGGTGTCCAAAATTGTCTGTTTGTACCCAATATAGTCAAAGAGAAACAAAAAGTCAGGTAAGCAGTGCTCAGGGCTAGATAATGATCGGTTAGTAGGTGAATGGCCGAATAGATACATGGATTCCAGACACCTAGGAACGTACAGTTCGAACAGGCTCATCTTTCTTGCCCAACTTGATACTAACAAGTTTATTCTCCGACGCTGCGTAGATGTAGGGGCTAGACGGTGTAGGTTTTGTGATTAGAGGTGAGGCAGATGACACAGACCCCGAGTCCGATTCTGGCATAGTCTGTTCAAGCACGTGTCTGCCCTTGTGACGTTTCGTGGTGGTAGAGGTGGGAGTTGCAGCCACGTAGTGCAGATTGGTCACTGGAGACGGAAATTCGTGCAGTATCAAGCGTCGACATTGCCTACACACGTGAAATAAATGCACGAGCTACTTAATAGGGAGCATAAGTAGAGACGTCAACTCCCCAATTCTTATGTCACGACCGAAAAATGTACAAATTATCAAGCTAAAATAAACTTACGGATGTCTAAATTGTCTCGGAACTACTACTACCAATCAGAAAAGAGCAAAAACGCTACGGTAGTTAAAGTGGTACAGAGCCACTAGGAATAATCGCCTCAAAAGAGATTTGGCGCAGGAATTTTTGGAAGTTCATCCAATTTTGATCAGAGTAGAGAATCCAACGTCGGTAACGTGAGCGATGACACCTACGTCACCTGAGAAGGGAAAGTCGTGGTAGCCAAAATGCCAAGCGAACAGTTACCACACACTGTGCATTAACCGACAATTGTAGGGTTGAGGGACGATTAACTTGTCTTCCACTTCTTGCACGTACCTTTCAAAATGCGCCTATGAAAAAGGGACATTCGCTGTTTGTTAAGTGAACAAATATGTTAGTGGTAGTTATTACTCAACTATCTACTCACTACCTATTCAGAGAAGACAACGCAAGACCTCATATCTTGTACCGCAGCAACACTGACCTCTAGTTGTGGTAGGGGGAAAGGAGAGAGGGAGGAGAGATACCACCCCATCTGCATCTCGTCTCACACTTCCCACCTTTCCCAGTAGTGCTAATCACCATCACACGACAACAGAAGTGTGACAGAAACTGAGGTGACTAGGGTCAGATCTCCCGCTTCTAAAAATGAAACGTTGGGAGGAAGGACTACCGATTGCAATGGTGATTACTTCCACCAGTGAAATATGGGACGAGATTTTCCGCAGCTATTCACCTCTTTACCACCAATAACATGACCCACTAACTTTTCCGTTTCCTTTCTTTAACGTCTTATAGGCACTTTAGTCTATTAAAACATACTCAAGCGATGATAGAGAGAATGTAATTAGACGCCTCAGAACATGAGAGACGAACTCTGAATACTGCAGGTGGCAATTCCAGGGATAACAAACAAATGACCTCATTGGAATTCAGTCCAATCCCCTTAAATCGTAGTTAAGAAGCACGCAAAACAATGCGCAACGTCCTCATTTGGAACCCTGAAGCTTGCTACTTAATTGGGCTAATAAGTAGACTCGATTTTTGTGCCTCTGAAAGAGTTATCCAAAAAGCTTTCGTGCATAGTTATGACTGGTGCGAGGTTTTTTGACAGAGGGATACTTATTCCAGTTGGGGAGTTAACTACACGAGCTGTCCAATCTCCGTAGGCTTCAATCATTGTCCTAGTGACAGTATTTTTGCTAAGCCTCCAAGGACTCGAGGTGTTGCAATGGTGACGGCTGTGGTAGGCGAACCCTAACCGAATGAACACGTCCTATTATCTTGAGCTGAATACAGACGTTGGTTTCAAGAGGGAGGAAAAATAGGCCGTGGAAGACTAGAATGGCGGCGAGTCACAACAGAGGAGCTACCGAAGGTGCCAATTTTTCCACTTTGTGATCTGTAATAAGGCTATAAATACCTGAAGTAACTCTTGATATTGACGATTTGACAAGTGCCCCCCTTCCATGTCCCCATTAGCTGAAGGGAAAGGTGGTTGGCTGCGCAGAAAAAAGTGAGAATGGGATGACAAAGGGAAAAGAATGCTAAATATTAGCCCTGAAGGGGAATTTTACGCATTCTAATGAATGGTTTTACCTTCAAGAACGCTCCTCTCAAGGTAGTGCGATTGACGCAAGGAACGCGCTCCTTATAAAGTACCGAACCAGCCCGAACGGTAAGAAGCCAGTAAATCCCCTCAAGGTGGTATACAAAGTGGACGAAAACGTACTATCAGCAAACTCGTTAAAGTACTTCAAACATTGCCTCGTCTTGATAGAAAATTAACGCACAACCTTTAGCCCTAAACCTTGGGTAGTTTTTTGAGCCTTCTAACGAAATTTTAATACCACACGCAAAATTGTCCTTGGAAGAGCACTAGAGCATATGCTTAGACAAAGGGAAAATCACATAGTATTTCTTAGGCTGTGCATTTATCGATAGGAGCTCTTCAATCTCTTTAGGTTTCGGCCTCCATCTAGATGTCATTTCATCTCATCCGTGTCATTTCAGTTAATATTTAGAATAGGGTACAATGCAGAGCCCAACATCTTGTGACACCCTCAGGAGAACCCCATACCGCACAGCTTAATTAACCCGCATTAAGCTTGTTGAAGTCACTGAGTACTTTTCGCACGAAAAGCATCTAATATCTAGGGATTTTTTGCCATTGACTGACCGATCCGAGGTAATATCGCCTTTGATAAGCTGGACGGCTCCACTAGTGTGACCCAGAAGGATGATATCCATAGTGGACGCGACTTCAAGACAAACAACCTCATCTAAAGTGGCCGAAGCAGTAGCAGCCGTGGTAGCAGTTGTTCTGACACTCCGACAACAGACTGGAAAAGAGGTCTTGGAAGTGAGAGACCACTTTTTGGTGTTCCATACACACACCCGCTCCTCCTCTTTCCTCGTTCCGCTGGTGGAATCGTCACTGGAGACACCAACAGTGACAACAAGGTGTGATTCTACACCAGGCACCTGACGACAGAGACGCACCGGACCGGCGTTGTGCGCGCGAAAGGAGGCGAACATGAAGGTGGCATCTAGACAGTGCATGAAACCATCCACGTCTCCCAGCCATAAGTAACCACCACCACTACTGACACATGTCACCGGGAGATCCTAAAGAACAGGAGGGAAGGAAGAAAGGAGCCACCCAGCCTCAACAATATTATGGAATAGTTAGTGGGTCGAGTATACTGTTTTTCTATTAAAACTTATGTAAATGAAAAAACCCACTTTATGTATGGCAATTTTCTAAACAGAAGAAGTAAAATATGGGGCAGAGAAATCGTTGATCCAGATTCAGTAAAGGTACCTAAATATACTAAACGTTTAAAATTAAGTCGAATAGGTAAGTCAAATAGAGAAGTATGAGTGCTAAGCCATCAAAAAACGTGTGTGTTCCCACAAAATCATAAACAAAAGAAATATTCTTATGAACCACAGTCCACAAAAATGTGAAAACTTACTTGAAAGGCACGTTCGTCTTTCCCAATATTAAGTTCAACTTTATCAAAGAAAGCAAAGCGCCGAGACTAAAATATGGATAAGAATGATCAAGGACCTAGTCGTTTATATAGGTCTTCTACTCGAGTTTACTCATTTTATAGAGAATAAATAAATATGACAATAACTAGGATCACACATGCACAAAAGAAAATAGAATCGGTACTTCCCGGTTCAAGACAATGGGTATCTATTAGTAAGTGGCGTAATACAAGACTAAAATCACAACAAGTTCAAGTAAAGGATGAAACTCACGTATGACATCAATTAACAAACAGAATACTGTACACAGCGGTTAGTGAAGGCCCACCTAGAGGCTACTATAGTGCAAAAGCAAAAGCCAATGCCGTCACAAAGTAGGCATTTTCATATCAGTAATGCGAATGTAAGTAAACGTAGGTAACATTACAGGTTTTCAAAACATTTTGCCTAGAATATTTTCCAGGCTGATATATGTTACAAATGCTACTAACTTGCAATTTGAACCATAATATTTGAATTTTTCTCATTGCACTTAAAAATAAAACATCTTAGGGACAATTTATCTCACTCATAGCGGTTTCTGAAAGTCTTTAATACCATTGTTTTAGCATACTGTATAGGCTGTCGTGGCTTGCAAATTACCTATGATTCACATTAATTTCACTCTTTGATATTTTGACTTCTTGCTTCTATCTTATTTGCATTATCCCTTATTCATACGTAAATTAGCAATGATTGTCAAGCAATTGCCTTTTGGTAATGTTCCCTCGCAAATCATGCGTTCCAAATGTGCAAAATAAATGGAGGAATCTGGAGAAATGCAACTCCTGAAAGTTGCATGGGTGTTGCTATATGCGTGTTTTCTACACAAAGCTCAGTTCCTCACAGCAGAAATTAATTTCATGGTTACCCTACGGCTCCCATTTTCATCAGCCCCTTGTAATGAGAACAAAGCTCTCTTCAAGACGGTATCGACTTGCCTACAACTAGACTTACTCCAAAACCCTTAACTGGACCCTCATCCCAACAACAGCCACCCCCGAAGACCGTCCGGTAATACACAGATTCCATGAGGTTGGAGTATAACAGCCTATTGTTTATGTGATTTCGCACTCGCGAAAGTGCATCACACCTGATACACTTGCAAGTGAGTACATTGAAGAGCTCAAGTCTGCTGCCAGATGGAGCAAATCCCAGATAGAATAGGTTGCTCTCTTTGAGTAAGAACAATAATACAGTACTACTTGCCCACTATCAGTAACGTTCACCAAGTCAAGATTGGAGCACTGCAGGCACTTACCGCCATATCAGACGAAACTGCACGCTGAAAAGCTTAAAAAAGTCCGACAAATTATCAGTGTATTTAGTAGATAAAATGCCATTACACGTAGGAGAAAGGAAAGGCTGTAACTGTATAAAATGCGGCTCTATTGTAATACAAAAAAGCGTTCGTAGGAGAAAATAGAAAAGTGGGCCTCTAGAAAACGCCTCTTTTACGCACCTGCTCCTTCAGGATGCGAATACTGCGTTGTTCATCCTCTGGTAGCAGAGCAATCGACTCTTCAGAGAGTGAGAGTACCTGCATAATGAGGTCCAACTTCTCCTGCTCCTTCTGTGGCAGTCCCGTTACGCTGCCCCCAGTGCCCGCCATCAATGCCGCCGATATCGCCGGATTTAACTAAAAGGCAACACCAATCACATAGCAAAGGTTCATGATTCCTGATTCCTTCTTGTTACTCGTCGGAATCATCCGCGTTGTCCAATTTAAAATATTCCACTTAAGGAGTAAATAGAGCCCCATGATTCCTGCTAACCAATCCGATGAATAAGTACCCGGGTAGATAGATAGATGGACGGATACGGGACGGCTGGCAGGAACACCGACTGAAATACGAACTTGTCAACTTTTGTGGACTTCTTTCCTTCCGTCTTGTCATGGTGTCCTACGCATGACAGCCCAGCAGCCCACCTGTGTTATCCAGATTCGCCTTCCCGAAGGGCTACAGCGCTACTTACTGAATTTCAACACACCACATTAATTTGGGACTAAACAAACTGCTACTACAATCAGCAAGAGAAAATACCTGATCGAGAGATGGAATACCGGAGGTAGCTTGGACAGTAGTAGGTGCCAGTGGAACTCCTGGCTGAGGGGCCCCGACAGGAAATGCAGAAGGTTGACCCAATGGCCCACTGGGAGATGGGTGTGGTAAATGTGGGAATCCTCCCGGAATTTGATGTGGTTGCGGTTGTTGTGGTTGTGGCGGCTGAAAACCCCCATACATGGCCGGTCCACCTAAGTGGAAGAAGATCCTTCTAAGCCCGCTGGAGTAAGACTGTCTCCCCTAACTGTCCTACCTGAACCCATCTATGCAAATATATTATGCGTTCTTTAGCAAATTAAAGATAGATGACAACACAAAATCATGGAACAGATAGATTGGTTAGACTAGGGACAAGAAGAGCTTGGTTTGTGGGGAACAATTACACCCTTTCAGACTTTAACAGAAGATTAATTGACCAATTGGTAGTGCAATATGACTAAGGTTTGTCCGATTTATAGCCTCAATTTAACTCGGATTTAAGGCACAAGGCGCTTCCGGTGTAACGTCTGTAGAAGGGACGGCAATAGAACCTACTGCACAGAAATGCTGGCTCATTGGGGGGAGGGGGTAGGAGATTCCGTGGTGGCAACTAAGAGGCCAACCAAATGGATAGCCTATACTACGCACTAACAGATGTCGTTGGGCTCGAAGGCCTGTCAATGTTTCACGTACTTTACAAGAAAAGGAACCCGCCATTTCCGATTGTTCGTCAACTGCTCAATCAAATAACTTGAAAAGGAGGGAGAGAGACACTACCCTATCGTTACAATCACTTTATGCTCACCCAATGATATCTCCAGTCGGCATGTAATTATCCCCTTTTCTTGGCATTAGCCACATAATCACAGACAACGAAGACACTTGGCTATTAGGGCATAAAAGTGAGAGAGAAGACGGCTGGCCTTCTCTACATTTCATAGAGGTGAAATTCACAGCAGACTTGTATCTCATAGGGGAAAGTTTATTTCAGCCAAAAACCTCGTTAACTCATCTGGTCACCTTGAAACGTGTACCTGAGGCAGATGGTGCTCCACTTTTTGAGATAATCATTAATCCCATCGCCTTTCATATCCGTAAACAAGCCCTTATGCCTCTGCACAGCAACAAAATATGCGCATTAAAAATTATGGGAATAAAAATATTCTTAAAATCGTATGAAGTATTAGTTATAGCCAGGTTTTTGATCAGTAATGGCTTAAAAGCGCCTCTAGCTGACGAAATATAAAAAAGTGTAAGGTGTGAATACCTTAGTGAGGCTCAGCATTCCCCATGATGGCTAATTACGCCCTCCTCCTTCCGAAATTATTGAACTAACCCAGGCAGTTTTCAGAAAAATTGGAAATACCTTAAATATACCGGTGCCAAGAAATCATAGAGTTAGGCGAAGCAAGTACGCAGTCACATTAGGATCATCTATTCAGCTAATTTGCCTTCCGTCTTGAAAAAAAACTTATGAACTTACCCATGGACTGTGACAATTGTTCGGGTGGAAATTCCCCCGGAAACGTTGATGGCTGATTGGAGAACTGATTACCATTCATTGGCGTCGCTGGAAACGGTTGTTGTGGGGGTTTGCTCGCATCACCACTACCGCCCACTCCGGGTTCAGACGGCTTACACATTGTAGACGTTACATTTTCCGGTCTCATAGGAGGAATCTGATCATGTGTTCGATTCAGCATAGCAATTGCAACCTTTGGATCGACTATTTTCATCACTACCTGTGCCTAATCAAGGGAAGAACCAAGCCAGTCTAGCAAACAATATTGGGCCACTTGGTAATGCGTTTCAAGGTATTACCTGTAGAAGAGCATAGGCAAGCTGAGGATTCTGAAGAAGCATATTTCTAGCCTCGTTTGGATTGTTTTGGATGCACAACTTCATCTGCTTCATCAATTCGTACATCTGTTCGGGTGGAAGACTGGCCACCGCCCGACTGATAGCCTCAGGAGCTTTTGCGGGATCCACTGGATTTCCATAGGGATTTTCTAAAGGAGGACCAACTGATGGATTTGTAAGAGCAATTTCCGCTGAGTTTTGTTCACCAGCAGCAGCACCGATTCTCAAAGGCCGTCCATTGAATTCAATATTCTGTAAGTTCCGCAAAGCACTGGCTGCAATAGCGGGGTTAGCATATTCACAAAAACCATAGCCTTTGGGCTTGCCAGATTCTCTGTCATAGACCAAACGAAAGCTGACAACAGGTCCGGCCTATTTAATTTTACAAAGATGACGGGCAAACTCACTTTGGAGAACAGTTCAACTAGCTTCTCCTCAGTAGCCTCGTATGGGATATTTCCGACAAATATGGATCTGGCAGTTTTTTCTGCGCTTTCTTTTCCTTGAACGATAGAAGCAGATTGCATGACCAACCGTTGCCTAGGCCAAAACCGACTTCACCCTCGCTTACAAATATTACGCTGTCTAGTTTAAGCAATGCAAACAACCCTGGCTCAGAAATATTATAGATCGTGCAAAATTTTTATTTGAGCCAATACAAGGGCCATGATTTGAAAGGTTTATACTGCACATTAAATTAAGGTAGCTAAATGCTTAACATTCTCATAAAGGCATTTTAAGAAAACCTAATAGAAGCTTGTCTGCCTACGACTCTCATATATGATTGTAAACATAATTTACTCGACACACTTTAAAGAATCTTCTCTGAAAATGTTTCTTATTCTAGTTTTTTGTCTGGAAAGTATTACTTGGAATAATTTCAAGGTTATAGTTTCTCGATAAATTGATCTATCAATTGGCATAGAAAATTGAATTTTTTTGTAATCCTCCAATTTTATGCAAAAATGCAGATTCTTTTTAAATAGTTCCTGCATTTGTTTATGAAATCTGTTTTATGACTAATTGGATACTTTCCAATCCCCATAAACAGGCAGTTCTGGTTTGCAGACTTTAATAAACAAAACCCTTCATTCTTAAATTATATCTCTTAGAAAATTATTGTTATTTACACCACTCCATTCTAGTATTTGCTATGGTTAACCTTCTCCGTGGCGGAGAAAAATGAAATGTTTCACCTCCACAAGCACACGGTGACGTCATTTGCAAACACACTCCAGTTAAGGGTTTCAAAGTGTCTGTAAAAGTTAGCTCAACTACTAACATTAGTGCCAGTTCAAAGTTCACATTCACTTTGCACGTCAATGATAGGCATGACAGTCATCTCGACATTTACTCAGTTTCCCATTCCCAATGCCCTATGCAGTTTCGCTAGCCAGCAGAGAAGTGGTTTACATTTTCAGGCCATACCTTGAGCCTCTTTGTGTCCTGTAAGCCAAGGCGCTACTTTTCCTCTTTCCCCCGACCACCTTATAGCTCCCTTTTAAAAATGAAAATAAAGAAGGAAAAGAAGAAATTTACATTTCGTAACATTTGAGAAGTTCGATTCTATGCATGCACACGTACAAACACGCACACACAATCATCGTGGCTCAGGTAGCAAACGATTGATCTTTTGAACTTTGAACATTTGTGAACTAACTTATTTTAAAGTAACAAATCAGTGAAAAACGATATGATTTAAAATAGGTTAAAGCGACAAATGACTTTTCTAAAAAGGGAATTTATTACGCGCCGCTGAACACCTCTCACTGACATAGCAACCACGAGGCTGAGCTGTGTTGGCGCCTGCCAATCGATCAGTGGTATTTGTGTATACCCGAAGGGCGTCAACACATGCCAATCGATGTTTGTTTACACAGCTACTTAAGGCCACATGCACACACAAGTGCACAGGTGCCAATACCAGGATCGTGGCACCAGGCCCTCATCTCCTTGCCCCCCCCCACCCTCCCACCCGCCACTCTCTCTCCACCCTATTGGTTGAGTGAGATTGCACGCTCGTTTGGCATGACATGTGTAAATATTTGAAACCTGTTTGCAGTGTTAAGGCCACCAAGGGGTGGCACATGATACCACACCATTACGCATTATTCACACCTCAGAGCAGATCCGATAACTCTCCGCTGTGGGCTGCTCTATTTTCTGCCGATATGGCCTTTGACCTGTCAGCTGTTCTTTTATCCCTCTTAATGCAACAAATTCATCTTGTGGTTCCTTTGTTTCAAGAAGAAGATGTATGAAAATTTATTAAGTTATAACAGAGACAAAATGAGGCTAAAAGGAAAAGTCAGTTAAAGTGTTCGGGTTTAGGGGAGCGGGGGAAGGGGGGAGGAACTGGAGAATGGGATTATAGAAGCAACAACATTCTTTCTGTACTGTCAAGATACTAAAACCGTCTACCTCCCCCTCTTTCTTTATTTGTTTCTATCCACAAATGTACTAGAGGCAACTTTGGAGATAAACCAGGGAATAAGCATCTTCTCTCTTTGTTTTTTTTTTCCAAGGACCACAAGGTGGAATCAGATTGTCACGCATGTGCTATCATGGTGGTGTGCAACCCAGCAACCATCCAACATTGAAAACAGACGAACAAGAAACGTGCTTTACACGGGGTAGGGTTTGGAAGGGGAAAAAAACCAGATATAGTGAGAAATATGTGAAGTGAACAGTTGAAGATGAGTACATACAGTAAACAACAACAACATCAACAACGACAACAGCTTTTCCAGAGAAGATAAAAAGAAATGAAAAAAGAGATGACAAAAAAGGTGATTAGTATCCAGTGGCCTAAAACAACAAGTCAAAACCAAGATGCAAAGGCAGAGGAGGAGAGAGGCGAAGGGGTCCGAGGAAGAGGGGAGCGTTGAAGGATTCAATATTCACGAGGAGGCAGTGTTGTTGAGGGTATTCAGCAACGACTGCTTTGCTATTGTAGCACTTGCCACTGTAGTGGAACATGGAAGACCGTTAAGACTCATCTGAGAGGCATTGAGGATAGAATCCGTGGGGGATACAGGTAGTTTGAAGTTCAACGACCCTGCAGTTGCAGCAGCAGCAGCAACCGCGGCAACAGCTGCGGCAGCAGCAACAGTAGATGCCGGCTGTGCTGGTTGCGGAGGTGGTGGTTGAGGTGGAGGTGGTGTTGACAGACCCGGAATCAGTGATGGAAGAAAGTTCACAGGTGCATTACCGATGTGCTTATTATTTTGACTCACCAGTGACTTCTGCTTAAACTCTGCTAGAGCCTCACTGTTAGTCGTGGGACAAGATTGAAGCCCTCCAAATGCGGCAGTAGTAGTACTGCTCGTAGGTGTATTGATGGCAGTTGGATCAACTACCACCGCTCCAGACGGAATCATTCCTCCACACGACAAGAGGGAATTGGAGATTAATGGGGACTGGAAGTCGAGGATTTGATTTTGTATTGGGAGATTCTGTAGTGGAAGACCACTGTCATACGTAGATATAGGCAACATTGGAGTCAGGGAGCCCGGTGATGGTGGATAGAGACCTGACTGACATGGTAGAGGTGGGAAGGGCAAACTTCGATTAGACATCGCCTGTGGAAAGACCATCGGAAGGAGGGAAGCCGTCGAAGCGCTCGGAATCATTCCGCCCGTAGCAGTTGTCGATGGGAGTGTTCCATTCACTGTGATCAAATAATAACGGGACAAGGTATAATCAGTGAATACCCCTAGCAGTAAACAACAACAACGTCAACGAAGGAACCTCGTCTTACTAGGTGGAGTTTTGCTCCATTCCGGCGGATTATTCGCACCGATAAGGATCGGTGTGGGTACTACTTCTTCAGGAAGGTGACAACATTCACAGAATGCTGGAAGAGGTGTCAATGCCGGTGGTACATAGGGAATACTGGTATGAGCAGCACATACACCTGGATGACACCAATAATGTGGTGTCACCTCCTCTCCCGTCGCCGTTGGCATTAACCCGCTGTTCTTAAAGACCTCTAGCCCCCCACACACGTAATGCTCATCATCGTCACCACTTTGTTCTTCATTGGCATCCGCGTGATGGCATCTCAATGACCTCTTCTGTGTGTCTATCTCATCTCTATGGCATCCCCTAACCACTGGACTGAGAGAGTGATGATGTTTCGTCTCATCTTTGTGTCTCTTGCCCCTTCGACTCTTGGACAATTGTGATTGAGTCGAGTGACCAGCTGATTGTACTTCATCGTCACTTGCAAAGCCAATCATGTGTGGGCCTGTCACAAGCACAAACAAGTCAAGTGATTAAATGACCCATGAATGCCTTGTTTTTTTTCCTTTTTTACTTTGCCTTGTGACAGCGTATGACAAGTGCATATCACAGTCTTGGTTACAGGCAGTAGTCAAAAGTGTTTCGGAGGCTTGGTGGTATGTAAATCAGTGGGACGTGTACTAGAGAGAGAAAGAGAGCAATATCACGGGACTCTTTCCTAATTTATTCACCTTTTGTTGGCGCTGATGACATGGCAACTACCTGCCGATAGGCCATCTACAGCAGTGTAAGATAATATTAATTCTGGGGAACAAAACCGCCCAGATATCCCTTCTGCCACAGCTCCTACTGGAGGGGAGAGGGGAGGGGAGGAGAGGGAGGAAGTAGGGAGAGGAGTGCAATCAAAAGGAAACGTACAATCTGCCATGGCCAGTTGAAGTTGACTACAGTGTAGATTGTAGACAGCTATCTCGGCTGCACCAGCTTTAGCTTCTTCCGCTGTGTTGTAGTACCCCGGTGTGAGGTACCGCAATCGTAGGCTGGATATAATGGCCTAGGGAAGCGAGAGGGGCAAATAAAGGGCGACCTTGGATGAAGTCATAACACTCAATGTTGGTGAAAGGCTATCCTTTCATCACTAGTTAGTCGACAGCCTTCCATCTCTTCTAGACCTTACTATGCCTTCAGAAAATGACTCTCGGATTGAGCGCGAAGATTGATAAGGAATAGGTTGTATCGGTAAAATTTAGCTTTCAACAAGGAACCCGGAAAAGTATGACACTTCTTTTCCTTCTGTTGCGCCTTCTCCACATAAACATCGTGGTATTCAGGAACCACATGGAAATTACAGTCTTTGCCCTAATGTGTGATTAAGAAGATCAATCACAGGCATTCGTCCATGCTCATGCCTTTCAGGTGCCACAACACACTCGCTATGTTGGAAAGATTCAAGATGGATGTATTTCTTACCTGACCGATAAAAAGTTGGATCTTTCCACCAGTTGTACAGTCGACAATATCCACTGGAAGGGCTGAGTAAATTGGGGATTCCAAACCACTGCGTTGGCAGAAATCTTCCATAATCTGTGATAGGAAAGGGAAGAACAGAAAATACGCCTTTTTATAACTCAAAAGGGCAAGATTTGGAGGCATCCACACACACGCACGCACATGCGCAAAAGGGGGTAGAGGGAGGGGGACCTGGTGCAGCCATTAGGGAAAGGCGGAGTGGTGGGAAGGGCAAGCAGTGAGCTGCAGGCTAAGCAAGTGGGGAGGGCGTACAACAAACCTCCTGATATAGCATTGGATTGGATTGATGTTGTTGCAGTTTCTACCAGAAAAGAGCATTAGACAGGTGTCAAAAAGAGCTGCCACTTGTCTTTCCCTTTTGTCAAATAATCAGAATCGCATAATTAAATAAATCTGGAATAATTTTTCCTTTTTTTATATAATACATTAAGAGGATAATGTCTGATCAAGGTGAAAGATGGGTGAGACAGAGAGAAACGAGGCGACAAGGAGACAAAGAGCGACGCCAAAAGGTCATGAGAGAGGAGACAGAACCTCTTTTATCCTCCCTCAATTATTTCCGTGATCCATCAATTTTCTTTCATTCTTTTGCCTTAGCAAAATTGCCTTTAGTGCGGTCGTATTGTGTGTGCGTGTGTGTGGGTGAGTGCTGAACTGATTGGCGAGAATCGGAGGGTGGAAGAGATGGGAGGAGACCTTTCCACCATTACTAATCACGCACACACGTACGCATACAATTAACAAGTCAGCGGCTGGAAAAAGCACTTTGATTATAGATTGAGGATGTTGAAATCATTCACCGCGAAAACACAAGCGCGTAGAGACAATGAATTTCGTAGGCTGCAAGGCTAACAATCTCATCCACGCTGCGTGGTTGAATCAGAAAGCGCTACTGAAATACCTACTTATAAGGGGTTGGGAGTAGAGGGAGAGGGGAAATCTATTTTCCTCTTTCTTTTTCCATTTTTTGCCAAATAATTTGATCTTGTTGTCTCATTTTGGGAAGGTATAAAGTAACTCACGGCAAGGTAGCTCCAGAAATTGTAACTTGTCAACACGATAAAAGGCATATTCAGTTAAGTGATTGATAGGCGCTCTATACAAAACCACTATTCAATCAGTCAAATATTTTGATTCATCTATGATATTTTGTCTACAAAGTAATTAAAAAAGAGTTGAGATTCACCTCTACTGGATGCTTTCTTTCACGTTGGGCGGCAGCGCTTCTACCTCCAGCTGCATTCCGTCGTCCAATTCTAGCGGAACTACTTCTTGCACAACTGGAGGAGAAAAAAGAAGAGGGCATGGAGAAGACAACCATTTCTGCATTACTTAGGAATCCCAAAGGTCCGCAAGAAACCTACCCAGAGCCGGGAAGCATAAGAGGACTGAATCCGGCCAAAAAGGCCGTTGTGGGATCAAGGAAGTAGTTGGCAGGGCTTGTAACATCCCCGTTAAGGCTCCAATCCATCAACTGTCTGCCCGAACGGGAATTTTGAGAGCGTAAAGGTTCACCTTTATCTGCAGGTTTAGCCCATGTTACCTCCACTGTGGAACCATCAATTATAGTTCCTGATTAGGAAATAATCACTAATTAGCCAATCAGAGGTAAGTTCCTCAGTCGCTTTCATCTAACCTCGTGATTCTATTGGCTAGGTGCTCGTCATCCCCGCTAAAGCTGCCCTCCTATTGGTCCGCTAATGGAAAAGGGGAATTTCTCCCCAATCAACTACTGACGCTTGTCTAACTGCAACACCCATCAAAAAGTGATCATTTTAGGCGCCATAAACAGATGATTTGACGTCATAAACCAGGAATCGATTTTTGTCTAATCAATAAATAAACAGCTGATTGACAAATAACTCAAAATTTTGTGTCAGCTTTGAAAAATTCTGCAGATTGAAAATTTTCCAGATTTTTTTTTCACAAAAGGCACAGTAGACAAATATTTAAAATAACGGAAAATCTAGATTAGTAAAACGTTTATGTATTAATCCATTTCGAGCATAAAGAGAAAAATAAAAAGTGGTCTACCATTTAATTTTTCCAGACATCTTTGTGCCACTTCGCGATCTTTGAAGTGAATAAAAGCGTAGTCACTAATTTTTTTCACTCGTTCAATAGCCTGATCTCCAGCCCCTGCAGCCTCCAGAAATTGAGCCCGTAGCTGCTCCTCTGTTGTACCAAGCATCAGATTTCGGACATACAAAATCTTAACCTACAGTTCATGAATAAAGGGCTTTTACAAAAAAAGATAAGAAATAGAAAAAAAATTGTTGTCCCATACCTTCATCATAATCTCTTCGTTGACTTCTCGCTCTGGTTCGGCCCAGTCAACAGCTATCTGTTGACCCCAGGGTTGAATCCGTCCAGGAATGAGTTTACGTCTAGCCATGGCGGCTGCTTTGTGGCTCTCGTATTCCACAAAGGCGAATCCCCGATTCTTGGACTTATCGGCCACACTGGGATAGCAGATAACGTCTTTTACGCCATCGGTGACCTTTTGCATTTCCACGAGAATCTCCTCCTTTGTCTTGTTCTTTGGAATACCGCCCACAAAGAGACGGCAATTGTCAACACTCAGGCACACACCGATGGTTTTGCCCTTCCTGATTTCGTAATTGTTTAGCTCATCCACCGCGCGTTTGGCGTCCTCTCGCGCGGTGTACACACAGAACCCATAGCCTCGGTTGTGTCCGTTGAACTCCATCATCAAACGAAACATGTAGATTAGACCGACCTTTTCAAAGATTGGTATCAACTCATCCTCAAAGCAATCTCGTGGAATTTTTCCCACAAAAACTTCACATCCCCGTGGCGGTATCTCACCTGTCCAATTGGGTGGCGGTCCATACCGACGTTGACCATTCTCCTTAGCAATAGTGTACTTGGTTCGGCTGAGGAGTTTTTCAATTCCCTCCTCTGCGGAGAGAGCCGCTGCATTTTGATTGCCTTGTCGACTGACAAGACTCTGTGACAGGGCGGCGTCAAGGCTCATACTCCAATCACTAATTTGGTAGGGAGGCCTTCCTGCAGTCGCAGCACCGCTAGCCAGGCTCAGTTGCAGCGAGTGAAGGCCACACTCAAGTTGATTTACATCACAGCACGACGACATGACCAAACAATGACCGAAGCGTACCGACTGGTTGGTTGGCTCAGTGCTTGTGTTGCGATAATACACCAAATGCACCAAGGCTTGTGATTCGTTGGTTCCGGGGCTTTATTAGAATAAACAAGCCTTTTCAACAACCGATTAAAATTTGCAAGTCAGGTCTCTCTTTCTCTCTCTCGCTCTCTCTCACACACGTTCTCTCCGCTTGTGTGTGTATGTGTAGGTGTGTTTCCAAGTGTGTGTGTGTGTGCGGGTGCGTATATATATGCCTCTCCGTAGGTGAGAAGATTGGATAAAATAGAAATTTGGCACAAAATGTGACTTTCCTGTTTCTATACCACGACAGCAACAAAGGCAGAAGGTGGAGGCTAGACGTCAGTTGTGGGGAGGGAAAAAAGCGTGTCAAGTTGGGCGGAAATTCACAAAAAATTTGGTCAAATTATTGATTCTCACAAGTGACGCGCATTTTGAATTTGAAGCATCAGCTGTTTATCAATTTGTCAAGTCAAGGTAAAAAAGAAAGGGAGAGAGATAGAGAGTGTGAGAGGGAGTGGGGCATTTTTTCTTTTAAACCCTCCCTCTTAAAGGAGGCATTGCAGTGGGGAGGGGGAGGCCGGAGCACGGAGGAGGGAATGGGGGGTGAAGGTCAAGAAGAATAAGAGGGGCGGTATTAACTTGAGGGTGAAAATGAGGGAAAGGCGAAAAAAGTGCGTCATTAGAACTTTTTCTCACTGCCTTTTTTCTTAGGGGACCCTAAACCCTCACCACCATCATCAGCATCATCTGGTGGATAAAAATTACAAAATTTAAGCAGAAATAAAATGCATCCTCACGTTATAGCCTCTAGAGGGAGAAAAAAACAAAAAAAAAAGAACAAAAAAAGAAAGTAGGAAACACTATTTAAAAAGTGCATTATAAATTTTACTATCCTATCCATTAGTTTTTTTTTCCTACAAAAGACTTTTGCCTCCACAATGTAGAGAAAAAGAATCCGGATTTAGGAATTTCCAAACTTCCCCAGGACGTTTGTAGATGAGTAAGGGGGCTATTTGGAAGCGGCGGAGGAGGAAGAGGTATTACCTTTCACCTGGACTCGCACACATCCCTCCTCCCTTAACTCCGTCCGTTAATAAAAGGGGCCTCGAAGGATCCTCTCAGGGATTAAGTTTCTCTTATTAAATTCCCCTGCTTGTAGATGTCACATCAAATCCCCTACATGTCACTCTTACTCTATCAAGCATACCACATTTGTGTAACAGGTGTCATTTGCCAGTTGATGACAGGTAGGGTTGCAGAAGATTTGTGTTGCAAGCTGATTGGTTGACTTGTTCTAGTTAGATTACAGCAGACAAATATCCAGTTGGTTGCAACGGGCAACTTTCCCTTCAGCTCAGAGCTTGGCAGTGACTGTGATTACCACCAACTCTCGCGTTTCCTCTAGTCTGCAAAGGATGGGGCAGCATTGGTAAAAAAGCAGCTAAACAGGACATTAATTGGATAAGCCATTTAAAGAAAGGAAATTTGAAAGGTGCTACCGCTTCCTCCATCTAGTAATTTTCGGTTCGAGGAGGATATCAGAGAAGGTGGGTGGATATATTCTTCAGGGAGAGTGACAAATTACTTTTCGGTGAGGAAAATTAACCCTTTCTTTATCATCATCTATGACATTGCGGTCTGGATGGTCTACTCTTCGAATGTAGCACCAATGGATGCGCGCACAGCGGACTAACTAGTTCAGCTGTCATTCAGCAACTATTAGACACATGATGTTTATCATTTTACATCCATTTTGTTGTGTAACCTCAACCAATCTCTCTGTGACCCAAATTGTTGCAGTCAATAAGCGTTAAGACACACAGAGTATATGTTACATATATGTGACGCTGAACGCAAAAATGTTTGAAGATGGGGCAGTCAAGAAGGCGACGGATTCCAAACCATACCCTCTATGTAACAACCCATTCTGAGGAATTTGATGTTGCCCATCAGACAGGATTGATTGTCCACCCGAGATGGACGGACGGTATGAGGCGTCGAAATGGACTTACTACTTGTCACTAATGTCACCCATTAAGTTGGAGCCAACTGGGCTCATAGTTAAGTGACAAATGAGGAAGGATGAGATTCCGTGGCCACTTGTAATGCACTCTTGCAAAGGAAATGTACTATTTTAGGGTCCTATTCTCCACTTGACCTTGAACTTTGGGCTACTTGAATGATGAGGACAAAGTGCTGATGAGTTTAATCTCCTTTGACAGTGGGGGGAAGTTGTCGGGTCTAACTAGACCGGCTCTGGTATCAATGGGTTCCGTCAACAGTTTGCCTGCCCCTTCCCTGTGCACGTGGGAGGAGGTACTCTCCAGAGAGGTCGCATTGGATGGAGTGTTTGGGGCATACCTGGACCTGTCAGTAACGCGAGGTGGACACATGCATAGGCCTTAGCACATGCGGATCAACCGGCAATTAACATTAACCAGTAGGCAGCTCATATACAGATGGGGTGTGCCAAGTTTGGGTAGGGGAGTCCCTGTGTCACATATATGAGACGCCACGACCTTTCACATATTTTTGTTAAAAAGCTGATAGTGGTTTAAGTTAAACAGGGACTATCCAATTCCCTCCTCTCCCTTTCCTTCTATCACCCACATTGTTGCACTTTACGCCACTCGTCAACCAGGTGCCAGATTCGAGGCACTCCACGCAGCGGAACAGGAATGGCTGTTGATAATTACCACATTATTTCGGCCTGACCACTCATCACCCAACACTACTTTCTATGTCTCCTCCGGTTTTGTTGTCATGTCAGCCTCCGCCATTCAATCCACGGACCAGGTAGAACTTTATCCACAGAAGGTCTGACGTTAAAGTTCATTCACCGCTGTCTGTAGGATCCCCACGGTGACTTCTTTTTCCGAGGAATTAAAGTGACGAGGCCCCCTTCGCCTTACATTTCACCTCATTTAAACGTCTCCCACTTTGAACTAACACAGAGCGTTTGCAGATCTGGTGCGGTAGGGGCTAAGCATCTACCTCCCACACTTTTACAAAAATCCCGCGTAATCTGAAGTGGTACCTCAAGCCTAAAGGTCCATCAACACGAGGACATTCATGAGCCTAGGGCCTGAAGGATGCGAGTGCGTGGCCATCATGCAAGAGCCAAGGAGGAATTCTTTGAAACACGGACGCCGAAGGGTGTGGGTCGGTAACGGTAAGGCTACCTATCAACGGAGCGCTAGCACACGCAAGTGCGTGTACGCACGCACGCACACACGCGAGCACAATCGATTTATCGGGTGTTTGTGCACCCTCTCGGTGCGCTGCCTGGGCGCGTGCGTACGTGCGTGCGTGAGCCTAAACAATAAGGCCATGCAGTTATGATACCACCTGTGGAAATCGGTTTGTTTGTGTGCTGGAGGTGGAGAGGTGGTGGTTGCAGTGACAAGGTGATAATGGTAATGACGCACAGAGCTGTTACCACGTCGAAGTGTAAACAAGTTCACTCGCCCCCGACTCCACCCCCGCCTCGCTTTGATAAGTATGGCGACACAACGCATGCAAAACGGAGTAAACAGAAAGACAAAAAAATGAAACAACTAGTCTGTTTAGTTAGCTACATCTGCCTACTTTGATTTTGCAGATTTTTAAAGAAGAAGAAGTGTTCTGTTGGGGCTTTTTTGTTGAAAAGAGAACAACAAGGACTTTTCCGTCTTATTTTACCAAACCATTTTTATTGGCGCTACCTCTGAAGGCACACGAGCTGGTTTCAGTTCTGGCTTAGCCTGTACAGGAGACGTGCGCAGATTCACCGAGTTTTCGGAAATGGTTGGTGAGCTTCTAGGTAGCCCCTCAAACAATATCCCAAAAAGGATTAAAGATGGTATAAGGGGTTAGATGTGGGGATAATGACACGCACCACATGTTCAACGTGGAATGTGTGCCTGGATGCCGAAGGTAAACATCGTCCAGGTGACGCTCTCTCTTCAACGCGTGGAATCGGATATTATTTACACTACCGCCGACTGTTCTGGAGGTGGTAAAATCGAGATGGTGGAACCCGCACTCAGAACTTTAACCGGAAGACGTCTGTGTAGACGTAAACAGGCATCTTTCGTATAATCGCTTACATCCGGTGCGTGCGTCAGGCAGATTCAAGCTGAATTACTGCAGGTTTGGTGATCTATGAGTGCGAATGTGCATGTGAAATAGCACCGGTGGCACCATTAGGTGCACCCTTTATGAGAGTGAGGAGAAAATCTAGAACATCACAAAAGCATTAGTACATATTTGCACACCAATTTTGAATTATGGGAACGAAAATTTGGAAAATGATTGGATAAACGTTGGAGTAGTTGCGTAATTGGCTAATAGCGTTTGAGTTGTAAGTTCATATTTTCCTGAGTCCCTTTTTTCGAGAACTATTATCAAAGTAACTATTTTATCGTGTCTAACTTATCATTCTGGGTAAAATCGATCACCTTAAGTCTTATAATCCACCTTTTTGATCATCATGGTTCCGCGTGATTTGCAAACCATAAGGTCAAAATCGGGGTCTTTGCTGACTTGTACAGTTTTAGGGAAGCAAACTAATGGAGTTCTGATTTCTGTTTGCTTCATATAAATGCTAACGGGATAGGATTATTTAATCCTTCGAAATCGCAGCAAAGCTGCCATAGTATGGCGGAGTAAATTACTTAGAAACGTACAGGAGGCCCGAAGGGCACCCAGCACGGTGCCATAATCATGACGCCTAGTGGAAGCGCAAACCGCGTAGACTCAAGTACTTGCATGTTCAACACACGGTTGAACAAACCGTCAAATCTGCACATTACATAATGAAGACTCGAACACTTAAGTTTTGGGTCGAAGGTTTAAGAACCACATCAAAATGCTGAAGTATCTAAGATTCTATTTGGCGTTGTCATTGCCATAGCATTGTAACAAAAATGATGGTGATGGCGATGACGAAACTTGCACACAACTTCTCTCAAAACGTGATCTTTTGTACCGGCAAGCTGGTGTATCCAACATTTGAACAACTTCATGTGTGTTTTTGGGCATTATGTTGCAACTTGATTAGTATGTCAGACTTGCAGACAATTTTTAAAGAAGCAGTAAATATTAAAAAAAGGAAAGAGACCTTCAGGATCGCGTAATAGATGAGTTCATGAATATCTACCATTATATTAACCATACATCCAGGTTACTTCATCCGCACCTTCAGAGATTGTTAGGTACAAGAAATTTTAAAGACCGGGCAGTTTTTATGCAATAATGCATAAAATTGCGTTAATCAAACTATATGAATGTAAGTGCATAAACTTAAACTCAAATTACATTAAATAAACTTTGCATTGGTATCAGTTGAAGCACTGATTAACTTTTCAAAGGAAACATTCATAAGTTGGCATTTTTCTAAAAATTTTGTTATGAATGCAATGATTGTATCTTTCTTTTCAAAAGAATTTAGGAACTTTCTACTAGTTACAGAAAAGAAACAATTAGAGTCAAAATATAAAAAATGATTTAGTACTCAGACGCTCGCATGTGCTGGATTGTTTTGCCCTAATGCATGCTCGTGATGCGTTGGCCGTTCAAAGCCTGATTTATTGTGCTGGGTGATTTGTCTCCCATTGTAGTTAATCCGGTTAGACTGTCCTCTGGGCCATACCAATAGCCCCAAGCCCTCTATGTCGAATATGTATGTATCCTCCGGGTTTATTATCCTTTTTGTCTATAAGAGGTTGCTAAACGCTGCGAATCGACGCATGTTTTGACTTGTAACTCAATAAGGGAAGGGTAAACAGAAATCCGCAAAAGACGTGCAGCCTACCAAACAATTAAAATGCTGCAAAAGTGTCCAACTCAATGCATCTGACCAAATTTTTTTTACTAATGCCAGTGGTTTTCTTCAAATGCACCAAAGTCCGAATACAGGAAGGGATGGATGCATAATAAATGGGTAAATTAAATGCACAGATATAAAGTGTACAGTCAAATAAATTTTACCTTTAATGCATAAAGTGCTTGGAAAAATGTGATCTAGTCAAATTTTGCGCAACCAGTTACCGCTGGAGGTTTATTTATGTGTTTGCACACGATACGAGGTTGATTTACATGGCGGATAATTTAAATTGGGAGTCCTTGCACTGTTGATAACCCTCGTGACCCTTCAAACACATGTAGGTGGGGTTTCCTCTTTATTTTTCGATGCTGAGTATATTCGCTCACATTTCTTGCTTAGTATCAGCTAAAAAGCTCTGAAATACCCTTCTGGCAATAGTTTATATTCACTTAAAGTGTGGGCATTTGTTCCGAATTTTTTCCTTCTTGAATTAAATGTATGGTGTAATAGAGTCCGTTTTCCATTAAAATGGGTAAGATTGTTTGGGAGATTTTTGGTTCTGGCAACTCTGCGGCCGCGGTTGTCTCTCTGTGCTTTCTTGTGAAGAAAGACTAGCCTAGTTACCCTTGATTAGATACAACTGTATTAGTCGAGTGGAATAGAGCCTTATTTTTTTACTCTCTGACCTTAATGTTTCTGTAGAATAGCACACTTTTCCTCTACTTGCATTTTGTTTTTGGGCGTTGCTTAATCTTTCTATGTTCAGGTTCCTGGAAAATGAAGCGCGGTGATGTTCTGGCGTGTTCATTCGAGTCTTGGTATCCACGCTTTAAAAAATACACAATCAAAAGGTTTGTCCTTCTGTCTCTTTCCAATTAACTGCTTTACAGTTTTATCATGGACCTTCCTGACGAAATTCTTGATTACATAAAAAATGCTCCCTTAGTTTCTCCTAAAAAGTAGGTTCTTTAATCAAATCGATGAACAGGAACTTATAGTGCTCACTCCATTAAAGCTGAACGTGATGGATTCTCAGATGACTCTGATGATGTAAGATGTTAATTTAACGACTTAATCACTGAGTACTTTCCAACAATTTTTAACTTTATCTGGCATCGGTATTTAGGATTCCTGGTCAAACGAAGACGGGTCTGATGATGAACTAGAAGCACCATCATTCCCAGATTTTGAGGCCAAAGTTAACGAAATTATTGCTTCTCTCGATGGAGCAGTCTTTCCCAAACTCAACTGGAGTGCTCCCAAGGACGCGGCTTGGATTAACTTCGGCTCCACTCTAAAATGCACCTCTGCAACTGATCTCCTTGTTCTTTTAAAGGCTTCAGATTTCATATCTCACGACATCTACGCACCGTATGTACCTCCCTCTTGTCTGTATTTGAGTAATCAGATTCGCTTTTTGTACAGACGCTAAAAGGAATGAGGAGGTCGATGAACCACAGCATTCTTTGAAGTTAGTCCTACGAGCCTGGCGCCAAATCCGTCCCGACGGTGAATTTCGATGCTTCATCAGAACCAATCAGCTCTACGGTAGGTGACTAGTTAACCGACTGTTTCCTATTCAGAGCCTTTCAGCTATTTGTCAACGGCACTACGACTCCTACTTCAACTTTATTGAAATCGAACAGGTCAACATAAAGCGAGTCATTTTCGACTTTTTTGACAGAAATATCAAGGGAAATTTTCCTCTGGACGATTGTAGGTCATCCATTCTATTATTCCTCCTGCAGATGTAATGGACGTGTCAGTTGGGCACAAGGTAAGTTCACCTCACAACTTTTACCTCCCAAAAGTTTGAATCACCGGGTTGTGTCAAGTTGATCGACTTCAATGTCCATGGTCCTCCTACGGATGGTCTAATGTTTAACTGGTCGGAGCTGAGACTTTTCCCCATTGACAAGGTGAGTGATAAATAGTGAGAGAGCTTTGGTTAAATTGCCGACAACATACTTCAAGGGGTGGATTTATTGCTTCCCTCTTCGGCATTGCTGCCTACTGTTATATTGGCATGCCTTCCTCACGGTTTAATTTACACTAGGAATGTAGCTTCGGTGTAGAACGGTTTGACAATACTTCTGAACCGTGCTAGAACACCCATTCCACTCCTCTCCCATAGGGAGTTATTTCTTGGGTGATTCCATGGCAGCCATCCTTGGAATGAGGCGTTCCGTAGATTTGACATTAACAGGAATGAAATGCTGTGGACTAGAAACCGCTACAGTAGGGGCATCTCAGGGTTGGAGTTTAACGCCTTCGTTTACAAGGCAAATGGGTACTTGCACACGCTGCCAGCGTTGCTTGCTTCTACCATGGCGAACGGTGGCTGGGCTGGTCCACGATGAAGTGCGCCAGCTGTTGGTAGTGGTGAAAGGCGTGCAATTCCACCCCCATGGCCTTCAATTATATGGAACAGGCGTAAAGTCAAAGTTCCGTTTTGGACTCAAAGAACCCTTCTGTTTCAGGAGGTGCACTTCCGTTGGCAAAGCGATAAGACGATGCGCTCCAGTGTGTTCTCCCAATACAAATTACCCATAGATTTGGTGGATATCTCATCTGGAGGAGATCCCGAAAAACTCATCGACCTGATTCAAGCAGTAAGGGGATTGATATCACCGCTCTGTTTGCCTTTTTCTTTGTCTAGTTTTGTCATTTTTTTATCGTCTTTTCTAGCATGTTGAAGAACAAAAGAATAATAAATCCTGAAAATACTGGTTTTCATTTTGTGGAAAAAAGAAATGCCGTTTCTCTGGTCAATTTGTCATTGTATCATACTAAATTGCCAGTCGAACCATTTGGAAAGCAGTCGACATCCATTACAAGTGAAAACTGTGTGTCACTGCAAGGTAAATAGGCTACCAACGGCTCAAATTTGCGCTAGTTTACGATAAGAGAACCCGTTTGTAGGAAGTTGCCAACATCGGACGTCTCTCAAATCCTCCTGTAGTGAGTCTCGGTAGATTTAACCAACTAAGAGTTCGCTTGGCGCTGCAGACGATGTGTGCCGACAAGTCTTCGACAAAGCCGTGAGAGACCGTACCGATGTAAAAGAATGGCACACCACCGGCTTCCAGAAGAACACCCACGAAGACTAAACAATCATCAGTCCTCCAGATCTGTACAAATAGGCGCCAGAGAATCTCACGCCTCAGTTTGTGAAAGCCCCTATCACCACCTATTAGTAATGCCAAAGAAAAAGACCTGCTGTTATCACGGCCGCTGTTGCATCCCACTTTACGCATTTCCATAAAATGAAAAACAACGTACGCTTAAAACGTCTTTTTTATACAACGTGCTACTTTATGAATACCATTATCGGACTTCCGTAACTTCTCCTTTGACCCCCTCCCTCCCCTCTTCAATTATCATATGGGAGGGATGACTTCCGGGGGCTGCAACATCGTGCTTGGCCATAAGTTCTCTCAGCCACGGAGAGATCTGTTTGACGTATCCTTTGCTGGTGGAGGCGCGCCTTGCTGCAGTCGTTGTGGGTTTGGAGAGACAGGCGGCTTCAGCGCGAGCCAAAACGAGACGCCTCTCCGCTGGATGCATGGCCGAAAGGGACTCTAGCGTATGGTCCGGGGCTGCTATCACCTCGTTTGTTGGTCTCGGTGCTCCGTCTTTTACTGTCTGGCGTACCCACTTCAACATAAGTGCGATTATCTTCTGGATCTGGGGGAAAAAGGGGTAAAATTGTAAAGATAGTGGTGGCTGAAGAGAGAAAAAACCTGTTCTAGGTGTAGTTCCGTATCGGTCGGTTTCAACCACGATGAAGTATGACACCCATGCCCAGGATTATCCAGCACTTCTCTACGTCGACGACGTAGCACGGCATACCTCACTAAGTTTTTGTAGATGATTTGAGGCGTAACATTGGTCCAAGAGAACAAAATCTCCGTATTCGGTAACAAAATGCCGAACCAACTCGACGCGGAAGGCGTGAAGATCCATACTAGAAGAGCTACCAAAGCCAAGTTCAACCTAGACGATTGCCCTGGTCTCGTCCTTCGACATGAGGCAATTAGCGAGGGTGGCGACGCCAGACTCCATGGCGGCGCTGTCTACGATAATCTCAAGAACATACACTACGCCCCTAGTAGCTAAGCGTAACCCAGACGTAAGGGTAGGCAGCGAGGAATGGATGTGTTGAGTAACTCTGAATTCATAGAAGGCAATGAGATGGAGTGTGCTATTGGGGTCAGAGGTCTTCCTATTTGGGTGGCACAAACTATTTGAGGAGGAAAGGTGACTGCGGAGGCAGCTTAGGACGACGCCATAAAGAGAAAGGGGTTTTGCAAAAAAAAAAATTATCATTCCAATCTCCAGAGACTCTGATCATTGTATCTTGGCGACATAGGATCCAATTAATGCTGAAAAATCGCTAAGCCTTCCTTTACGCAGGGGAAATTATGAAATGTGTTCAAACCAAAACAGGATTTGTCATTTAATAGACGTGCGAAAAGACGATAACGTGGTGCTACTGCACGCAGCACCAAGTGGCAAGTCGGTCCTTCTGTTATCATTTAACGACCGTGGTCTATGTTGTGGGCCAGGACGGATACCGTCCATGAATGTGTAAATAAGCAACACTGGTAGAACTTGAGCCCAATCAACGGCCTGGGGGGGGGGGGGAATGATGAAGGATCTTGTAAAATAAGGTGTAAAACCCACAGATACATACTCGTATCTACAGAGGACTTCAACCACACCGCAACACGATAGAAAGCTTAGCCGTTCAGTAGTACGACAAATGAATAGAAGATGTAAATGTATCCAAGGGGGCCGTGGGTCTGTCAGCAACGAACACAGAAGCGATTGTTCCTTCCCTAATCCACGGCAAACATTTGGATGCTGTCCAAGCCCGAACACTTAGCTGAATCACAATATATCACGTGTGGAAAGTGTCGGGAATATAAGTCCTCTCAAGGCAACCGCGGAAACAACCACACAGGATCATTTGGGTCAGCATCAAACCGAACCAAGGTGTCCTGGAATGGTCCATCCCTGCCATTTAAAAGCTAGAAATAGTGTGGAAATTCGGTGGAGATACTTTAAGAAAGTATGCATGATCGGTATTTCTTGAAACTTGTTTTACTCCTTTTCAAACTTGAATGCTTCTCGTATCTCCTTCCTTGCTATTAACCCTTATTGTCTGCCAGGATGATCGCAAGAGAGGGTGGAGGACGAAACATATTTACAATAAAAAGATTGCGGAGAGTACCAGGGGTGACTCGTGGGTTCGAAGAGCGTGAAGCTCCCACAACGCAGCGCTGGCAGGACGAGCCAACTCGGGATCGTTAGCCTCGGGATCGTAGGGACCGCCAATTTCGGTGTCGGAGTCGAAGAGCACTTCACACTTGGAGAAGAGGCTGAAGAACTTCCACAGACTCACAAGCATTGAGGCCAGGCAGGCTGTGTCGGCCTGAAGGAGAAATACTTTTGTAGTGACTTTTTTACGTAGTTCCCTCCATAGATAAACGTTTCTACAAAAGGCTATTAGTGAATAAAAAAATATGCTCTGGAGCTACAGAAGAGACATTCGTCCCAACTCACCACAACGAGAGTAAGAGAGGCAAGTCTCTTGACAAACGCCAGTACTCGAGTGGCTGAAACCTCCCTCCGACGCGAAACAAGGAGCATGTCCAAGCAGGCGAGAATGACATCGGTAAAGCCCTCCACTTCGGCGGCACCGATCGAACGCACTGATCCATTCCCTTCGTCACGTTCACCGCCGCCAGCTAAGAGGCGCTCCCGTTGCACCAGAGTCTCGGCTGCTAAAGCTGCGGGGGTTCGAGCCCAGGAGTATTGCAGGAGATTACTGCTGCTGCCAACAGTGCCAGAGGCAGGACTGCCAATCTGTCTGTTGCAGACACCTGCCATACAACCTAGCAGAGCATAGAGGTGGTTGTAGAAACGTGTTGGGTCGACCCTCAACACAGAGGCTGCTGAAGAGGTGTTGAAGATAGTGAGAGCGGTGTGCACGCTGTTTAAACCATCTTGCAAGCTCGTCTTCTACAGAAGTGGTAAAATTGATAAGTGCAAACTCTGAGAGAGTAAATCATACCTAAGTTCACAAAAAAAATTTAATTTTTTTTGGCAAAAAGCAATGCATAACTCACCGGATTAGAGACAAAGTTACTCATCAATTGAAGTAAGTTTTCCACATACTCCACATTGATTACGTGAGCATATCTTAAAAAGTAGAGGAAAGGGTTCTAAAAGAACTATTCATCTTACGTAGAAAGGCCAGCCAGTACGGCTGAGAGTAGGTCTGAGTCCTTGGTAGTCTTCAGAACTTTGAAGTAGACGAATAATATCTCCTTCAAAATTTCCGTATTCTAAAGAGGCAAGTGATGAACCCAAACCAAAACCAACTATTCGCAGTCTTTCCTCATGCGATTTTGACGCCTTGCTTTCAGCTTGGTCTTTTTCGAACTTGGCCAATATCTTGTCCTTCTGCAACAAGGAAGAGACAAGGATAGAAAAGTGACAAGCATCGCTAATTAACACCTCGGATTAGTAACTAATCAATCGTCTCCACACATACCAAATGGTCCACTAAAGGGTTAGGGAACACGGGAGAAAACACTAGTAGCCAACCATAGATAGTACACCTTATCTTACACAGATAGGAGATATCCAATTATACCTTTCGCTCCCTTCGAGAAGCAAGTTTTCTGTTCCTGCGAGCCGCCTTGTTGTCAATGGATGGATCCGAAACTTCCTTAATCGCAATGTTGGCGATAGCGCTAGCCACATCGGGTCGGATACGGTAATTCACTTTGCGCGCTAATCTATGGACACCACGACAAACCTTAGAAAAGGGAATCTTAAAAACAATGCATTAAGTACCAGAAGAGTTGCCTCCCCTGTCGAGTCTGAGGCAAAAGTGGCTTTTAAACTCTTGAACACAACCTGCCGAACCTAAAGTGAGTGATAATGAGCAAAAGCCTGGATGACATACAGATGAGCTTCCCTTTTGCAAGTATGGCAGGAAAGCGCCCAAAAGATCACTGGCAAAGTTGAAAAGAGGATTATTCTCAAACAACGAGCAGGCACACTTAAGTGCACAAACCAACTCGGGCTGTGAGGGGGAACGTGATGGTTAGGAAGCCGACAGGATACCTTAGTCCACTTAGGTAGAGAATAAATGTGGAGGCTCTTTGGGAGCTTTCGCCTCCCTTTGTCTAAAAAAATACAAAATTTAATAAAGTGGATAATTACCTTTGAGGATTGACTGAATGAGAAGAACATATTTTTCAAAATTTTTTAGTAAAATTTCTTCAAAGCGCCAGATTCTTTTAGTCTCTTTTTTGACCTAGATTAAAAAAGCATGCTGATACTATAAGGAACACGCTACTAATTGCATCACTTAGGGGTAAAGAGATATTCGGAACTCTAGCTGTGTGTACGTGAACCTTATGTGACGGTCAGTAATTCCTACCCTTTGCTTCAGTTCCTGCTCAGTAGGTGGACGTATCTTATAAGTCGGAAGAATATCCTTAAATACGACACATAACGACGCAACTAATAGCTGACGCAACGAACTCGACTTCAAAAAAAGAGGATCTGTTGCCATTCTTGTTAAATCACTGAGACGACCGATCTATAAAATGAGGCGTACATAATAAAACCCTACATTCTCGTTCGTATCCTGCATTATGGAAGATGAGTACTGGGCTATTTTGAACTTGCATTCTTTAACATACTGCCTTTTACTCAGCATTCGCTGCACCGCAGCCGACCGCCGGGCATCGCCACCTGCCTCCATCTTTTGAAGGCAAAAGTGACCTTCAAAACCACAAGTTGAAATGAGGCACTTTAGCTTCTGCTCACTGCATAAGCCATCAGATCACTCTCCGCATAAGCAATCAAGATCTTCAAATGTTCTTTTATCACACTTTATTATGCAATAAATTTTGGATTAACCTTTTTTAGCATTGTGGGAATGCTTTTAACCACCAGCGCAATATTTAAAGTAGTGTGCATGCCCCGTGGACACATGGAGTACGGCCATCCGGTTATTCAGGCCTTGTTTACTGCTGGTATCAGCTTTTGTCTTGGATGGTATTTGTGCAAAAAATCAGCATCAGCAAAGTCTGTGTCGAAAATTTGTCAAAGTGTTACTGGTGACTTAAAACTCGTTCTGGTTGTAAGAAATGACTTGGGGATGTCTAAGGGAAAGGTTGCAGCTCAATGTTCACACGCAACACTAGGGTGCTACAGAAACGCCCTGGAAGACTGTCCACAGATAGTGTCTGCGTGGGAGCTCTGTGGCGAAAAGAAGATTGCCTTAAAGGCGCCGGATTATGAGACATTGTAATATTCATGTTTACTGATTTGAGCGTAGAAATAAATTGCAAAACGCTGCTGGTAATGCAGGTCTGCCTCACTGCCTAATTCATGATGCGGGCCATACGCAGGTGCCCTCCGGATCTGCTACCGTTCTGGGAATCGGCCCAGGTATGTTAAAACTAGGAGGAATAACCTTAGCTTCCAGCGCAATCTAGTCTCATTGACAAAGTTACTGGAGAACTCAAACTGTATTAAGCATTCGAAGCTAGTTAAAGGGGTGTGTGCATTTCCATCTGTACAATACACTCCTGTCTTCACGTTATAGTTATTCCTGTCAGGGTAGGTGGTGGTAATTCATTTCATTGCCTCATCTCAGCTTTTGTTCATTTTGCTGATATCTCTTATGCTACTTGTAATAACAACTACGTCTTAATTATTCTTCGCCGACTATACTACTCGCAACTAGCTAGTAGCGAGTCATTCAAATGGTCTGGACCTTGATGAGCTAATTTTTCTTTCTCGATTGTGTGATCGACTGAATGTCTGGTCTCTGCAAGCATAAATAATTATGCAACGGATTTACATTGTCCTGGCTGGCAGCGTGACCTCTGGCTACCTCGTAATTTATCAACACTTTCTTTACCAGGGTGCCACCCACATGTGGCATTTGTTACAATAGTGACTTGCACCAGATCTTGCCGCCAAAGGCATTGGGTGTAGGACTTTCTCACTCGGTAACGTAAACCGTGTAGTTGGACCATCTGCCGTTTTACTGACTTTCAAGTTGATAAGACCAGAAAGGGGCTGAATGAGGATGTGTATGTCTAAAAATGGAAAGAACAAAAACAGACTTCGACGTACGACGTTGATTTCACTCTGTCATCGCGTACGTGAATTGGGTACAGCGGTTTACCAAAAAAAAACTTGAGAAGGCATAAATTACGGTAACGTTCGGTGTCCAAGAACGTTAGTGTGGTTTTTGGTTTAGCTGGCCCCAAGGACTGGTTGTGGCCTTGTAGGCACTTCTTGCACTCCCTACCACTTCTCTCCCTCTTCCTATATTCCAGCCGCTCTCACCCGTAAAGTTACCTGAACTATCCAGATAGTCACATTTCCAGCCTGCCTACTTTACCTACCGAGTTTGACGCCGCCCCGAAGGGGTATAAGCTTTTCGTCAAATTTACTGTCTGGAAATAGACGAAGGATTGTGGTAGAACAACTTGACATACAGGGATGGCTCATATTTGATGCCAGAGACGAATCACGAAATGGTAAAGGTACCGTGTTAGGGGAGACTCCCCTCCTTCCTGAGAGGATTATGTCTCGATAAGCTGACTGATCAGAATTGCTTTCTTATGCTGGACGAGCAAACCTAACTCCAGTGGCTAGTCCACAGACCATATGCCACTTACTTCACTTAGCTAAATCCACCTCTTACTTGATTCTTGAAAGACTGCGGCTGTGCGGTGGACCGCACACTCAGCTGTTTATTTTCCGAAGGCTGGGACGAGAGTTCGGCTTCAGAAACAGCCACGACGAGTAAATTAGGTGGTTTCTTTTTTTCCAAGGCAACGCAAGATCTCCGACCACAAGACCTTCCTGCGAATATAGGGAGATATAGTCTTGTCAGCGTCTAAAGGAACTGCACCTCTACCTGCATCTTTCACTTTATAACAGGGTGCTGGTGGCGGAAATGCATGCTTTGGAATAAGTACTATACACTAGCTCTAAGAAGCCACCTTGATCCGGTTTCAGGCAAACTTTTCCCCAATGTACGAAACGTACTCGCCAGTGGGAAGGAGGCTCTCTGCCCTAGCGCCTAACTTAGCTATAAAATTATTGATAGGGCGAAAAAGGAAGTTGGTGAAATAATTTGGTGGGATTAAAGAACAGATTCGGGCAGACTAAATCAACTCTACAGGCAGTAAGTAGGTGTCAGGTCTGTACGGAGGTCGTGTGCTGAACAAACAACACGGTCAATCAAGGTGGTAATCAGTGCTAAGCATGCGTACAGATCGAACTCAAAAATGTCTACTTGCGTCTGCAGGGGCCTTCAAGCTCAATGCGATTGTCGGTGACAATCGCGGCTACGATGACGTCCACCACGGTAGTTACTGACCCACCTTGTGAAACACCCACCTAAGAGCTGCATATCTTGTTGTTTGGAGAAATGCCAAAAGAGATGAACGTGTGCAATGCTTAAAAGCGCACCCAAACTACGTGTCAGAGCAGTCTGCAGTACAGGCGACAAAGTGAAGTACGCTTCCGCCCCAGGATTATTCAACCGCACTGACAAATCTTCCCGGGTTTCACTTGGATGGTGTTAATAGCATCGGAAGGCGATGAAAATAAATCTATTAAATTTATTAAACAGTTAGCCCTCGTCTTTAAAATGTCACGAATTCCTGCCAAATTTCCACCAAAACACAATAAAAAGTGTAGCAGACTAGTAATAATCTAGATCTACAAAGGAAGCAAAAAACGTTCTTACACATTAGTCTTCTAGAAGAGCTCCAATTTCCTCAGTGATGATTTTACCTGCTTTAAGGACATCATTAAAGGAGGTGTAGAGAGCAAAAGGGGCCAGACGAATGTAGCAAGGTTTTCGGGTGTCACAAATGACACCCCTTTTGATCAGTCGATTGTACAATTTCTCCACATCGACGTTGACCTTGATGGAGAGTTGAGAGCCACGAGATTGTACATCACTCGGTGTAATTAACTCCAACCCCGAAGACTGAGCAATAGGAGCATTAAAAAGAAGTGCTTCCAGATAACTCGTCAACAGTATCGACTTTTCGCGAAGAGGAGTCATTCCACCAGCTTCAGCAAAGATCTCTAATGAGGAGGTCAATGCAGAATTGAGTAGCATAGAGGGACACGAGCGTCGATATGAATCCGCTCCACCCTCTACCTCCATTTTGTTGGTCATCTGGAAACGTGTGGAATAACGATGTCCCCACCAACCTGTCAGTGCCGGTGCATACTTGTGTTCTTCCGTAGGAGCAAACTCACCGGGCTTAAGGAAGTGCTTTTCGTGCACAAAGATACCAGCACAACCACCTGGGCTGCCGCACAGATATTTGTAGCCACACCACGCTGCGCAATCAACATTCCAATCATGGAGAGCAAGAGGAACATTTCCGACAGAGTGCGCTAGCTCCCAGCCGACTGGACAGTTACAGAAATTATGAACAGCTTCGGTTATCAAGGGAATATCCAGCATCTGACCTGTCAAGTAAGATACACCTGGAAGCCAGACGAAAGCAAGTTTTTCGCCAAGTTCCTTGATCTCATCGATGATCTCCTTAGTTGTGAGGTACTTATTATTCGGTCGCAGGTCCAGTTCAATCAGAGCGGACTTATCAACACCTCTTAAATGGACTTGGGACTCTAAAGCATAGTAATCTGAAGGAAATGCATTCTTCTCAATGAGGATGCAACATTTTTTGCCCTCTGGTCGGTAAAATGACGCTAGAAGAGTGTGAATGTTAGCGGTAAGGCTCTCCATAACAGCAACCTCATTGACTTTTGCACCTACAATGTATTCAGCAAGAATCTCCTTAGGACGTAGATCCGAAGTTTCGGTAGGGGAACAACCCTGTGTGTGACTTAGCACACCCATCGTCCTCCATGACTCGAGCATCTTTTCCAGGTTCTGGCTCGTCGATTTCGGTGGAAGGCCAAGAGAATTTGTGCATAAGTAGATCACCTCCGCAGAATCACTGGTGCCGCCATGACTACTTGCACCATTAAGTTGATTAACTAGCTCAAACGTGGTGGGCAATTTAAACTTGTCACGAAAACCCTTTAGCGGATCATTATCATCGAGCTCCAGTGCTAATTCCTCAAGGTCACGGATCGAGAGCGGATCCATGCTGAGAAACTAGAGGCCGGGGACGATGTGACCCACCACCCCGTTACACTGGTTACATCGCGACCACCCAGACCAAACCAATAGGCACGAGAGGCAAAAATCTACTTTGCAGTCATTGGTTTCTTTGTCCAGTAGGCCCTAAGCATTTTCAGCATCTTTCTCAAATTCCCCGATTACACCTTTACATTTTGGCCATAATAATCACGCTTACCGGATTATCATCAACCGAGTGCCTAATTTAATTATTTTACCAAATGATTCGAGGCGCTAGTCTTGTCGGAAGAAAAAGACACGTCTCTGATATCTCATCCTAAAATGCAATCAAGATTACGCAGACTAGATTGAAAACCAATAATAATAAAGTAGCTCGCTCAATTTATAACTTAGCGGAAAGCCACTAGAAAGTGAGATTCTTCCCTTAACTTATTTACGTTTCGAGGTGTCCCTCAAGAAAACTGATTCTGTTTAAGGGAGTCCAGAGGCAGATAAAAAGCAATCTAGTGTAATACTATAGTGGTTTATCCCTCAGTATTTTGCTTATAAATGGAAAAAGTGTGATACATTGAATATCGATTCCTCAAATTCTGCTCTACTGTGCAATTTATGTAAAGCGAAATGATGCGCTTGCTTTGCGTCTTCACCAAATGTCGTGCGAAAAATATTTACTGATAAGGGCTGGTGTTGGGAGGAAAGGGCCCGTCAAGTGGGCACGAGCACCGGTTTCCCTAGTCATATCACCAAATAGAAGCACAAACCGCATTTTTTTTAGAATTTCCTCAAACCCACACATTGGTTTTGCAAATTTGTTTGTTGAAAATTGTTTAACTAAGCTGGCATTGTATCTGAGATTTAGGATGAATTTTGTTGCTGTTGTAAAGGCCAGATGATGAACAATATTTGCACCTATGCAAGAAAGATTTGCAGCCCCGTTCTTTTGCATGGATTAAGTTCCATGTGGAGAAATGTTGTCATTTTTAAAAAATCTTATACTTTTAACACACTTGATTGAAAGCATCCTGATGCATACTAGCCAAGATGTCATGCGACATCACGTTATGATGCATACGCATAAATACGCAGGCTCTTGATACCTCTTTTGTTGTGCACCATTTGGACGGAGTGGTCCTTTGGCTATTCTGACCAAACAGGAGGACCGGAATGCAGTGTTGTGAAAGCACAAAAAATGACAAAATCGCGTGTGTGGAAGTAGAATGGATTAGCATTATGGAAAATGAAATTTCTTCTGTGTAACTCGGCTAGTCGCAGCTAAAGTGATATTAAGGAAAACTATTTACCAATATCCAACATGACAGGCTGACTACAGGCCTGGTCTGGGTTAGGTTTTGCGGAAGTTAGCAATGATTTATTAAGTCTCAAGGGCCTGCGTATTTGTGCATACGGGTATGATAAAATCTTATTGCACAAGTTTTGTTACACGGAAAGCAATACGTATGTAGTAGCCATACGTCTCATTCTGCAGCTGCTCAAATCCATGTCAAATAATGTAAAACTACGATTAACAATCTACATCTTTGCTTTGAAATCTGTGGGTCATAATGACTTCACTTTTGCACTTCCTTTAGGTGGCATGGCTTTCAGGGCACACCAGTAGACCTTAGATCTTCTGCCTGACGACAATATGTACCCTGTCCAAGCATTTAAAGAAGACCCAGAGTACTGTGTTAGTGTCAGCGGAAAGTAAACCTACCCATAAAGATCAAATACTCCTATTTCTTTGACTTAATGTTAAATCTTAGCATGACGGAAGAGGTCCATATGCTAAAAATATAAGAATTTGTGACGATGTTTAGCTGGATGCGGAAAAATGATGCGTATATTTGGCAAATTTATCAATCCCGTATTCTGCATGAAAGTTGTTAAAAACATGATTGATACTAGTCATGTGTCTCCAGGAAAATTTTTGCTAAGAAACTTCACCACACCTGTATAGAGACGTTAATTACGTGAACACACTACACCGTTTTTACCTCTCCACTAGCTGAAGAGAACCCAGATAGGTGTAGCAGGGCAGCACTGGTGAAATAAAAATTAGCAAGGCGGAATATTCGCAAAAACCTACCCCCACGAAGCCACGAGCTACTTCGTTAATTGTTCCATGATACTACTATTAGGCCAATGTTTTTGCGACTAGCAAGAGACTCACGTGATGGCTAGGACATTACCCTCTTCTAATAAAGTTTCAAAACAGGACGAACCTATATTTAGTAGATCCGTTGAGATGGGAAGTTACGTTGCACTCAGACATCTCGCTTGCACGCAAATCCGTTGCCTGTCGGCGTCTAATAGCAGCTTTGATTCCAACAACACTAAATATGTTGTGACAGGTAAAAATCGACGTTTAGAGAAAAGAATCTATTTATGCATTGATTATTTGTTTAATTATCGGTTTTGTTATCAGGCCACTAAGGGTTCCGTCATTGTACCTCCGTCTGATACCATCAGCTTTAAATCAACCCACTAACTTACAAAATTTACCTGTATTTTGTAGTTTCTTTGGTTCTCCGAGAATTTCTAAGGCCCTGCATTAAATTGGGATTAAGAGAGATCGGCGAATATCTATGATAAGTGAAGGATAGAATTGGAATAACAAAGTATTATTAAGACTATGCTCCATTTATCAAAATGTGGTTAAAAACTTTCTGACAGCTCTAAAAATGGAAAATAAGGGACGTTAATAGGAAAGACATTCGGCTTGACATTTCGCCCACTCTCCAAAAGAACACCACTCATTGCACAATATCAAAAACCAACGCGCTATATTTGTTTATTTACGCTTTAGCAAACAAACCTTCTATTTTTACTTATACTTTAAAGCCAGTGTGAAAATTGTATTAGTAAATGGTTTTGTTTTACCTGGCACACAAACTGCCGGTATAGTTGTAAGGGTCGTAGTCGAAGCTTTGTCTCAGACTTCGGAATTCACTTCGCAAGGAAACCAGGCGTAAGATATCTTTTGGTCCCTTTTACTATCTTGTTTTCAAGAGGCACCTGTTCTGAGGAACCCCCGACTTTTTGGTAAGCGTCTTAGGAGATGCTACTAGGACCCAGGCAGATTTTTATTTATTTCTTCGAGAAATGGTGTGCAATAACTTTTGGATACACCTTGTTAGGTGTTCTTTTAATCCATAAATTATGTAATAAGTTTCCGGTAATTTGTTCCTGTGACCATGGTGTTGTGTTTCTCTTTTCTGTTTCCACGCCTCAAACCTATTAACACGACCGCTCACTAGTGATGCCATGATGCAAGCACTGAACTGATTCGCCTGTAGCTGTGGCTTTCTTGCGACTTGTTTGGTTGGTGTTTCGTTTTTCTCAATACTACTTCCCTTTTTTTTTCACAATATCCATCACACAATTGATCACTGCTTTTGCGCATATGCTCTGTTGACAAACAGATGGACTAACAAGTTCACAAGAGCGAGTTTTAAGGTTACTCTCAGGTGTCCGGTGTTTCATTTTTTAGTTAACTACCGAAGTTAAAGCCGTTGTTAGGCACGGGGTGTCGACATAAGGCCTTACTGCAATAATGATTGTTGCAGCTGATTCAACGGAAGATTTTTTCCTCACCTTCTGCACACAAGATCTACTTCGTGTTTACTTCATTATTTAACGAATTAATGTTAATTTAGTTTACCGGTCTGACAAAATTTCCGCGGCATAGTTCCCAATGTTTTGGTTTTCGTCATTCGTTTCTTCGTATTCTCTGAACCACTGCTTTATACATTGTTAGGCAGGAAAGCTCAAGCAATTTTCTGTGGAGACTGTTGTTATGTTGAATTCTTCACTAAATACAGGTTTTTGGTTTTGTTCCTAAGATGTGCGTTCGGCATTTCGTACACCCCCTGGTACTTAATCTGCAACAAATCTTGGAATTAACACTATTGCACCTTTAAATCGCCTAGTTGGATCATTAATGCAATGAATCCCATAATTTGTGGGGTTATTTGTATCTCTGAGTTCTCAAAATGTGCTGCCTTTTTAGCCTCGAGGTTAACTACACAAGGGGTATTTTTGACTTACAGTTCCGTAATTACTGTGACATTAGACGCGTTTTGTCTGCATCCGTATGCTCCCTCTTTATCTCCTCCTCTCTCTTTCTTTGTCTCCCATTCAATACGTCGCTAGCTGCTTCACACGCATAGATACATACATACATGCCTGCCTGCATGTATGCATAGGAAAGGCACAGCTTATTGGCTGATGCCCTCAACTCGACTACCAATCCCCATTTCGCCAACACAATCAGCTGATTTAGCTTACTACCTCCACCGCCGCCGCGTATGTTGGCAGTGCCTTTGCGCACTTACCTGCTATTACTTCCTACAGTTGTATCCATTTTCTACACACAGACGTGATTGTACACTGTCGATGCCTAATTTTCTATCCTTCCACTTCTTTTTTTGCAGGCCCTGTGCGCTTCCGATTTACTGATAGGCGCCTATGGAGGCTGTGAAACTCAGTCGTCGCCGTATTTCCAATCTTGACTGCGACGGATACCGCCCAATGAAACGGCGGGTGAGTGTGTAGCTTCGATGTTGCATTTATTGAACGTTAGTTCTTTGGTATATTACGGTTAGAGGTGGCATCTGCTTGTGCATCAATCGGATTGGTTAACTCAAAACGACAGAATGTATGTCTGTGGCTCTTCGTTCGAAAACGGATGCTTGTGTTAGTTGGGTTTATGATTATCGATGGTACACTGCAATACTGTTAGTGAGGCTGCTTTTTATGCACTTTCCTATCCCCTCTACTTAGCATCGACTCTATAGCCTAAAGGGCTACTTCAAGATGAGTTTTTTAGTTGACTCGGTGATTGCACGCTTTCACTTAGAATTGGATTAAAGAGCACAATTAGCTCTATCTGTGTGTATTTTGCGCACCGGATAAACAGGCCCAAAGTACTCTTAAATTGGCGAATGGTAAATCTTACAAGAGGAACTTGTACATAATCCTTTTTTCTCAACACTAACTTTCTGATTTAAGCTTTATTTATCAAGGGACCTGTGATGTTGGTAGGTCAGCTTATTGTTCTTTTGAAATATGCTTTTTGAGGTCACTGCTTCATCTTTGTACACTACACATATCAGATGACCACTTTTTTATCTACCCGTGGTAGGATATGGCCGCTATCACAGCAGTGTTGGTGGCACTCACTGAGTTTTCATGCCTTTGGATTTTGTTAATAAATGTGCTACTGACAGCGACAAGAGAGGTGAAGAAGTAGAAGCTCTCCGCGTTTCATTTCCTGCCCCTTTTGATAGGAATGTGGCGTAGCGCACTCTCCCACATAAACACACGTTGCATAGTCACGTCACGTACGGTTGCTGCTTCTGCTATTTCGTTGCCATTAATGAAGCCTCACCTCCCCCTTGTTAATTGCTCACCTCTTCGTGGCAGTGATAATATCATAATCTGCTCGGTCACGCTGCTTTCTGCCTCTATGCTTTCCACCGAGTCGTAATTGAGAGCGACCAGCAGAATGCCGAGGGCCGAAAGGCTCGTGCTATCTACAAAACTTTCACTCTCGCAGACAGCGTTACTAGATGGACGACTTATCGTCCGTAGGGCTTTTACACCAGACCAAAGATATATTTCAGGACGTTAAATTGAACACCGGAAGATGAGAGGCTCGTGACAGAAGCTAAGCCTTTATTCTCCTCACGGACCTGCTAGCACTCAGTATTTAAAGTCCTTTATTGGTGAGAAGTCTACGTCAAATTTGGACTTGTTCTAGCTGGATGATGAGGGTATAGGACTTGCGCTCAGTCATGCAGTGGCACAATGGCGGTCTGTTTAATAGCAGTTACAGGAAAAGCTTTATGCACCGCCGCAATGTAAGGACCACCATCAGCCGTAAATGGAGGAAAAGATTGAATGAGTAGATGAATGCATGCACGCATGTATGCGTGCTTGTGTGCGTGTGCATTTGTGTGCAATTGTAAAACGCTGGCGCATTTTAAGGCCATGTTGGAATCAAGTCCCTCTGCCTGGTAGTCACATACACAGTACCTCGTGTAGCCGTCTCTCGACCCTACTATCAGCCAGTAATTGTGGTCGTACCCCAAGGAGTACGTACTTTGAAGAGGGACTTTAGATCCCTTCACCTCCCCACGGTGACGATCTTGCTTCGAGCCCCTTTCGAGGTGGTACTGCTTCAGAATGAAACGAGTCAGTGAGTCCGGGCACTCGATTAGGATGGATATACTTTTGCTCTCTTCATGCCTTCCTAAAATCTGAGGTTAATTAGTGGTTAGAGAAGCACTAATTAGTGCCGTCTCTCCCTCTAGGTCCGTTGGCTTTTTTGGCATGCAGAACCTTTGTGTCCAATCATAGCCCAAAGTTAAGGCGATAGCAGAAAACGCATGCACAACCACATACACTCGGGCTGTCGGTAAAACAAGTCGATTTGCATTAATTCATGCCGATGGTACGCGAGAGCATGTTTGTCAACCTGTCTAAAAGCGACAAGGGGCTCGTTCCATTGGCTGGTATTGGCCAATCAGCTGTTGCGGGCGAAATAGGGGATCAAATGTTGGAACACCTCCTTTTTTTCTCTCCCTCTGGCAAACTTGCTTTTCCTTCCCCGCCAAACACTAGGTGGGCTGCCTTTTTGCGGTCATTTCTTCTTCTTCCGGTTTATCAGATTGCTCCCTATGGTATTCGATAAATTACCTGTTATATTGAGGGTGCGCTTAGCAGAGCTCTCAACCGAAAATTGCTCATCTCGTGCCCTTAGAATGACCTCGATTTTTGCAACAGTTGCTCCGCTTATATGTTTACAAAGCTGTGTAGTATCATGCACTAAATTTGATTGCTCTGGCTAATAAAACGTGTTTCCTAGAGTGAACGCCCAAATTAGATAAGTAGTAGTGCCTTTCAAACTACCCATAAGAAGTTGCTTTTGTAAGCAAAGAAAATCTCTACTACTGTCCCGGCCGCGAGCAAGCCAAAGCACGCGGGTTTTCAGCCTGTCTGCCTGCCTGCCTGCTTGCTTGCCTGAGCCAGCGAACGAGCTGGCTGGTGAGTGGGTGGGTGGGAGAGGAGATAATTGGCCAAAGACGCATAGAAGGAGGAGGAGTTTCACATAACCCGTGCCATACTCATGCATCCCACACGTGTGTCCCTCTTTCGATCGATACTGCCAAAAAAGACGCAATTCTCTTCGAGGGGCAAATGAACTTGATGAATTCTTAAGACGTTCATAACCAAGGGTCACATATGTGTGACTCTCCGCTTTTGCCTGAGTCCGTGCGTTGTTGGTATGACGTGTGTTCCCTATTCGCTTTATCAAATCGCCAATGAATTTAAGCAACTAGGTAAGTTGGTGCAGGCTGTTTGTGTTCTTGGAGAGGGACACTTTAGTCATTTCGGTGGTGCGATTGCTGGTAGCATCTGAATTGTGTTAGCGGCGGAAGTTTTATCATCCGTTTTTTTGGTAAACTCGTTTTTGGCTGCTGGTACCCCGTATATTTAGGTGCTATTGGTTGTGTGTTTGTGTGCATGTCCTGTCCCAGTTTGTGTATATGCACGCGTCTCTCCGCGTTCGGCGCTTACTTAGCCATTTATTCTACACTGTCAGTCATCCGCGACCACCTCGTGACACCTAGCCATGTCGGTTCACACTTCAATGTGGATGCCAAATACTAATTATTTAGTAGTGTCTTAAACAAGGCTCGGCTTTTATTCGGACTAGGGGTATAGCGGTAATACCAGTCTCTGTAAATGTGTTCTTTGCCTGGGTAGCAGTTAGGCTCTCTACCTTTGTCTTGGTTCTTTGTTTGAGCTCCATCACACATCGTCAAATCGCCCTGTGCGGTAGGAAGCATAGAAGGGGTGCGATAGGTAAAGTTTTACCGGCGGCAGACTTCTTTTAGGCGTTAAATTACTTTAGTCAATAGTGATGCTTCCGTAATATACGGGCTCGGGCGAACGGCAACATTGTTAGCGTGGAAAGCAACTTACAGGAGATGGTTGAGAGAGCAGAATGGCATGTTATCATTAGGATGGGAGACTCAAGAACTACTTCATTTTGCCATCAGGACTTGGCTCTTGCCTCGCCTATAATCACACTTGGTGGTTTTGTGTTTAGGTGGACTGAGAGACAAAACGCTACTACAGCTACCACCATAACGTGAGTCATAGTGGGTGAAGCTGGGACGTTCTAATTCCCTCTCTCTCCCATTCTCGTGTAAACTCATGCATCTAAGCTTTTGGGAGGCCTAAGACACACACACACACACGCACCCGTTCACCCACCTGTCCAGCTAGTTTTCATGTCTAGAAGAATGGGAATGTGTCTTAGGAAACGTGCTGCCTTCTAACTGCCTACTTTTTGGCTCGTTGACCTGATGATGATTTGCGAAACAGCGGCATGGGAGGGGGAGGAGGACGAGGCGGAGGGGGAAATATCCTGTCTTTCAACCATTAGCACAAGTCACTTTGAGTGGAGCAACTTCCCTTTCGATCATAGCGCAGAACGTGAAGCTGGAGTGGTTATCACACGTCGACATGTTCTCGATTACATTTCCTGTGATTTAGCCATATTTATGAAATACACTTCCCCCCCCCTTCTGTGGTGCTTAGGGGTGGTGTCTGGTTGATAAAATTACGTTGAATCAGGTTCACTCATCGCTGCCGCTAACGGATTTGGCCGTAGCTTTTGAATAGTCCCCTTTCTTTTAAGAATAAGTGCAATAAAAAATAATTCTCCGGACTTATTTCTTCATTCAAATTGCTTTATCCAAGTGGAGGCATGAAGAAAGTGACCTCAGAGGGTAATATCAGGGCCTAATGTTCATACTAAAAGCACTTCCTTAAGCATCGATGCTTCCCTTCCAATCCAATCTGATCCCACCTGATGTTTGAAAGTGGAAACCGACCAAAGATCACACATTCTGTTGCAAGTCCCCAAAGAAGGCCTCGTCTTCTGCAGTAAACACTTCATCGAAGTTGTTTCTCTTCAGGATGGGCTTCTGCTTATCACTGCCAAAAGAGCTATCCACGGGGTCGTAATATTGATATACCGATCTTGGAAGTGGCTTTGTCACTTGTTAGCCCACAATGGAGCATAGGTGGTAAAGGGGACACATTTGCCTCCTTAATATCAATACTACACTGTTCAATTATTTTTCCTCTTCGTTAAGTGACAGCAGTCAGTTTACGAAAGTGTGTTTTAATTCAGCTGAAGTTTTAATCTTGCTCTCTTTGGTTTTTTCCCCATTACATGATCCTACGGCGGTGATAATGGTTGTGGTAGTGGCACACCCTTTTCTGCATTAAAGTTTGGCGCAGCTGTCATTAAGAGTCCTAGATGTCATTGTCTGTCAGAAAAAAACAGACTACAGAATGCGGTCTGCGTTTTTACACATATATTCCCCTAGCTTACTCTTTACTCGCTCGCTCTCTCTGTGTGATTCCATTTAGAGAGGAAAAGCCCATCGACCTTTTTTTCTGCATTATTCACAAGTTGACTGCTGGATTGGGGTAAACTACTTTGCTAGTGTAGCGTGCTGCCCATTATCGTTGTCTTCATCACCTTTACTGGGAGATTAGGCTTTTTTCTCCACTCTTTTTGCCTCTTTCAAGGCATCGTCGATTCCATCGTGCATACACCCACACACCTTGTTATTCATGCTTTCTCATCCTCTTTCGGTGTGACTTCACCGTGATAAATGGTTTGATTATTTGCTGAGGCAGATGCCTGAAACACGGTTTTTATGCAAATATCCCATCATGGATGTGTGTTTGCTCTCACAAAATCAAATTCATCTCGTATTTGCGCAGAGAAGGACTTCGAGTCTCTGAGCATGGGCTGGACATTGTGTGGCCCTGTCCTAGAGAAAATGCTGTTTATTTCAGTGGTAGGGCTTTTTTCGACGGGTGGGCGAGTTGTGGGAGGGGGAGGAGGAGGGGCAGGACTTCTGGATGTCACATTCTCTGCGAGGCGCATTGATCTCTCTCCTTTCTTTAAGGAGGTGGCATACCTTCACTTTTTCCTGTTATGAAATAAGCAATTCTTTAAGGTGTAGTATCCGGTTGCCACCCAGAGAGGGTTTCCTATTGATAGTGGGCAGGCGCGGAACCCAATGACATCGAAATGCCTCCATCTAGCTGCTGTTTCGGTTTTTTTTTGCCTAAGTCCCTCAGGCCAGTACGTTGAGGTAAGAAGTTCTTGTGTGTTCACCTACTTGGCTTGCCTCTCACCCTAATCGTGGGAAGGGTTGGTGATGGATTTTGGGTGTACACTTGTGAAACTACGCATTACACCATCGTGACTGTGTATATGTGTGCGTGTGTGTTCTATCCACGTAAATATTTTCTACCTTTCCATCGATATACATTTTCTCCACCACCTGCCTATCAGTTCACACGGTGTTGTTTGATTGATCCACCTCGTGGGTTGTTGTTTGTATGTGAATAAAACATTCGGCAATATAGAAAATTGTTGTTGCTGTTATTGTTGTTAGCACCTTTTTTTGGGGGTCTTCTCTAAAATATCACGTTTTCAACTTGTCGAATTTGGAGGAACAGGGATGTCCGCTTAGAAAATTGTCCGTTTTTCCTCCTACACACAAACACATGCAGACAAATACAGGCAATGAAAACAACATATTTGATGGCAAATTTTCCTCCTGGAAATGGGCGATTAGTTGACGTTTTCCGGCTTCGATCACATGTGTTGAACGTTGTCCAAAGTTCCCAAAATTTGGTGATGCTGCTGAGGCAGAGAGGCTTGTCCTAGCTGTCTGTAGTTCCCCTCCACTCCCGGGAATGAGTGTGCCGGGCGAGTAGTCAGTGATAACCACCAGTAATCCACCACAAATGTCCCCTCACCTATCTCCAGATCCTGCACAAAGGGTCCATTCCTCATCACGGAGTCGGAGTCGGTAATAGAACAAGTTATTATTCGAGGAATAGAGGGCCTTTCTAGATGTGCTATATCCACCCCTCACCCCCCCGCGGACTAACTAGATTCAACTGACATTTTATCATAGGGGCGGAAAGTGGTGGAGGGCACAGTCAGGCCTACTAACGTACCTATAAGCTCTGATCCATATTAGTACTTTATTTATTGCCTGCCTATGGTGGGGGGTAGTAGTAGTGCCGAAATTGGGGTGAACTTTTTTTGATCACCTGACATAATTTGCGTCAGCTAAAGTTTTATTTCCTTCTCTCGGGGTCGTTTTTCCAGATTTTACTGGATAACTGCATTGATGAATATGTGAAGTATCTGACAAGTTCGACTGAGTAGTTAAATTCCTCTGTGGTGCTTCAATATTGCTAAGTTCCTCTTCCTGGAATTTATCTAGACAAATGCATTATTTCATCTGAAAGCCACCGACCGATGAGTTTGATACCAGTCATTCGTCATGACTCCATCATAAAGTATAAACCTCATGAAGGTGGGATGTAGACTTAAGAATTCGCAGCTTCTCCTTGGTTGGTTAATCGAATTGTCAGTTTCTGCAGTTTATCCATGCAATTTTACTAACGGGATCTACTGACTTCTTTATAGCTAAATGGAATGTGCCATCTGGAGGGAGGTGGTAATTGGCACATGAACCTGCTGCCAGAGAAGACTTCCCCCACTACCAATCCGACCTCGACTACGGCTGCTGCAGCTGCCGCAGCAGCAGCAGCGGCCGCCGCCGCTGCGGGCTATCTTGCTGATATAAAGCCCCAACCACAACTAGCTGCCCCACAACCGACGTCGAAACAACCGTTAGATTTTAATCATCAGCACCAGCAGCAGCACCATCCCAATGGAGCTGAGGGTCAGGTACAGGCCCCTCCTCCAACACACCATCAAGCCAATAATCGCAGTGGTTGTGGTCCTCCTGCACCTGCTCCTCCTCCTGCTGCTACTGCCACTGCTCTACCTCCTCCACCCCTTCTGGAACCATCCCAGCAACAACAACAGCATCTTTCCTCTATGGCACATCCCGTTCTCCCACCCAGTCTCCGTGAATCCGTAGGTTTCTTTTTTTCACATTAATCTTTTCGTTTACCTTTATACTGGAATGCAATTACAACAACCGAGTTCCCCCTAAAAAGACGTACGTAATGATTGATGAACCCTCCTACCACTAGAAGGTTGGTCGAAAACCCATTGTTGAATCGGTCCAAATACATGGCCCTTCTCACCTTGCGAGTGTCATTATTTGTCTGCGTCAATACTTCATAACCCACTCAATAGCCAGAAAATTTGGTCGTGCATTGAAAACATCTAATTCTTAACGTCAGTGGTAGGCACGCCTCGTTAATTTTGATGGATCCATAGGTCGTTGCTCTTTGTACTGCCTATAGTGGGTCGGTATCCTACAACGGACTCACTTTTTACGCTCACTAAACCACTTCACTCAATTTTGACGTGAGTATCACCGAAGCCAACTAGGGCTCCAGTCTCTTCCAAGAGATATGGTTTTTGGGCGGTTTTCTCTCTTCATACGTTCGGCTTCAACGTCCATCCCCTCATTGCATCACAGAGGGTGTCATGAGTTTGTGGCGTCCGTTGAGCTCCTCCTAAAAAAACCCCCAGAATAAGTTTTCTGCCCTGTGTCACATATACGTGTCGTTACGTATTCGTGCTGTAAATATCCTCCTTCTGTTATGATAACTGTTTGCACTAAATCGTGTCTCCAGTTTGATAGCCTATAAGGATCGATTCATGAGAGTCACTAATCCGCCTCCATGTTAACGGGGTGTATCTAACAACCCCCTTGATCGAGGCCAATGAGTTCCACTATCGGCTTTAAAAGTTTGATAGGCGACAAACAAGTTATAGTAATCATCTTCAAATATCTTTTGCGGGTTTTATTTTTATCATCGTGCAGACGATTCGCATATATTGTGTGTGTGTGTGTGTGTGTGACTCAGCGTAGTTTGTAGGTTGCCAGCTGTTCTACTGTTTTAATCTATGCAAGTGCTAAGGTTACAAGTCCATCGTTATGTCTACCTGACGTAATTATTAAATAAACAAACAAGTCTGCGTGGTTTTTGCTCAGCAATAAACTGAACGACTGTGGAAAATTTCGTAGAATGTTTTTTTTTTTAATTTGTAGCTACGATCTGCCCATTGGAAATCGAGGGAAAAAACGCAGTACCCCCTCCCCTACTTTGTATGTAATCTTGTAATGCCAGTATCCAATGCTGGGGGATAATCATCACTTTAAGGTTGGGGAAATGTTATCAGTGGAATACAGAGGATAGGGATGAGACAGAGTCGCCCTTTTTTCCTCCCTTTCCATCCTGTTCTCAAGTGCAGCAGCACTAGGCCTTCTCACGGATAAGACTTGAGTTAGTGGTCCTGTGTTTTCTTCTTCCAAAGAGAATGGAATTTCCTTCCCACTGGTTGACTAGCTCTGAGTACACTGAGAAGTTTTGTTTGCATGGTTGCATTGAGTGGAGAAAGAAATGCCAGTCAGATTGACCCACCCTTCAATCATAAAGCAATCGCACCCAGCACGCGCAATCTCCCAGCGATGGAGCGGTGAGCTCCCCAGCAGTGTGGCTGGCCGATTGTTTGGTGATGGCCACCAATGCCATGTTCACTTGCCGTCCATAGCTGCACCGTAAAAGTCCACTTCTCATTACGACTCAATTTTTTTCAGTCACCTAGTCAACAAATATTGCCTTCCCGATGGCGGGACCTTTGAAACCCCTTTCATCTATTACTGCGTGGTTTGTGTTACCCGCTTACTCTTAATGGCTTTCATAAATTCTCTTGATGTGTGAGTTGGTGACACTACCGATGCTCCGAACAATTTTTTTCCAAGAGAGACACGGGCGAATTGAACCCACGTAGACTACTTTTGGACTCACGGCTTCCTGGGCAACCTTCCGTAATGTCGGTACTGTGAAGTAGGTAACCTCAGGTGTGGTTTGCGAAGACGGGAGAGGAAAAAGATGTGTTTTCTCCTAGACTGAGGTGTCAGCACCTGTACTTTCTAATTCACACACTTGCCTGCCTCTCACAAGTCTACGAGTTACATCAAGTCGCCGCGATGAACTTTACGAGAGGTTTTCTGATCACCTGAAAGTCTCAATATTATGTGCTTTTTTGGTCTGACTCATGTGGATCTTACTCTTGAGATTTTAGCAATGCTTCTTAGAAAGTGTAATTTTACTGGCATGTGTGTCACGGATGTGTGACAGCCATTCTTCCGCTGGTATCTTGGCGACAAGCCTGTAGCATTAAATCCTACAGCGAATAAATAGGACTGGTTTGGTTGAAAAGCCTGAAATAACTTGATCTGTCCTGGGCTAATTGCACTTTTGTGGTAGCAGTAGCTGTTTTTTGGTCTTAGCAATCGCTGTGAATGGGGCTAGCAATAACCCCGCCATGGGGACTGCAGCGGCCAATTTTCCCTCCAGAGGTGGGATCCTTCTAGTGAATCTGTAGTACTTTTCCATTCACAGATCCTATAATCCTTCAAAAAATCATTTTGCATTTCACATAGTAAAAGCCTATCTTCACAAATGATAGAGGAGGGAAAGGAGGTTCAGGGCTCAATTTTTTCAGCTGGGTGTGTAAAAAAGGCGGTGTTTAATCTGCCAATACTGCATTTGTGCACAGGCTAGATTTGGCACACACACACACACACACACGTACAGATATGCCGTCTTTCTTGCTCATAGCATTTACTGTACCTTTCCCACTTTCACTTGCCGTTTTGCGTTTCCATGGGTAACGTTTCGGTGACATCCCAAATCTACGCTACCTGCCGTGAGGCGTCAACACATCTAAAAAGCACGACTTACACTCTTTTTTCCCCGTACTTTTCTTTTGTTTGGCATAAACACCCGAGACGTGAAAATTTGTAGGGCTCGAATGTTGCGTGTCGGTAAATAGGCTGTTATGACCACCATTGCAGCATGTCATATTATAACGGCAGAAGTGAAGTTCAGTTTTCCGTCACTGGCGGCTTTGATGCTTATGACTTATAAGGGAGTTGCATAGCTCATGTTGCTTGTATGAGAGGCTACTCGTTCAGTTGAAGAGATGGATTAAAGTGCTCCTATTTACCCTGCTTTGGCTACTAAAATACGTGTGTAAGTGAGTACATCCACTGCCCCTTGAGTCATCTTTACAGAGGCTATTTCAACCAAACTATTAGTGGAAAGCAGGCTGACAGCAAATTCGTAGGCGTGTGGCTTGGATTTGTATGCATAGAACTCCTTTTTTGCCTTTCTTTTCTTTGAATCTTACCCTCTAGGTTTCTCTGCGTGGCAAAGAAGCCCCTATTGCATCCTTGGAAATTTCGATGGTTTTTTTCACTTCCACGAACTAACCTGTAAGGATTCCTTGTGTCTTCGTGTCCGTGTAGGTTCAACTATCGACAGCAGATACCCTTCAAGGCTATTGTCGTTGCCTTGCGCCGAATTCGCTTACAGCAGCAGTCCTACCTTGGACAATTAGAATGTGGATCGGCCTGGAAGGAGGGGTAGACAAGACACCGAGATGAACTTCTATGGTGCCAGTCTTTTCCATACACACTTCACTAAACGAGAATTTTACCAAAAATTGGCACCGGAAAGGGAATATCTCGTTTTCAGAACGTTTTGTTCTCAGGAAAATCTAATCTTGCTCTGCAATTGGTTAAATTATGAGGCACTTGCAAGATTTCTTTACTGTAGGAGCGAATGCAATCGGTGGAACGGTGGATAAACAGCATCCCTCTGGACGCCCCAATCTACGTGCAGACCTCGCTGACCCAGATCGTGCCCATCTCTGATCCCAAATCCTTCCCCGACGAACTCTCCGTTTCCGACCATCTCCCCTCTGCTCCCAACAACTCCTCCTCTATCAGCGCTGCTGGAGACACCTCTCGAGGTAAATCATCTTATATTATTAGCTTCCATTTCCCTTTCCAGAAGTCGACTTATAACTTGGTTTAGTAGCATTCCTTGGAGCTGCTGTTCTTTTTTCCGATTTCAATTCGTAACTTTTTCTGCTGGAGGATTCCCTCGTCCAATTTCCGGTTATGCTGATCCTCTAAGACGCTACTTATATGTTTGTTAGTAGTTTAGCAAGGAAGGGGTGTTTATAAAGTTTCCAGGGCCTTCCTTTCTACCTCGAGATGATTGGTCTTATGCATTACACCACCAATCAATCGCACAGTTCTACCATAAACAAGGTAATAAACAAGACCTTTCTGTCATGAAGGCTACCAAAAATTCCCCTCTTTTTTTTTAAATCTCCACATCGGTTTGAGATTGTTTCGCGCCCCGTAATTGCTGCCAGTAAAAAGTACGAGTCCAATTTTTTTCGCAATAAAAATGAATCGAAATACAGAGGGAAAAAACAAATGAAAACACAGAGGCGACACAAGTGCAATGCGAAAAGCTGGACTAGTTTTCAGGACTTTTCGGAGTTTAAACCTTCTCTCCGAGTGGACGCAAAACTCAGGGGTTGGCAATCGTGATACGAGACAGCAGCGACTCTCCGCCCTTGCTTTTGACTGGCAATCTTCCCTTTTTCTATTAATTTACCCAACAAATGAATAGAAAGGCAAAAAGCATCATTTTTTGTCTGGGCCATCAGAGATCCCTTTTTTGAGCCAAAATTGTTCATCCCAGTCTTCATGCATTTGATAAGCGATCGGAATTCTTGCTTCTCTTCTAACTTTCGTTTTTGTTCAAGGTCATTGCAAGGCGGCTTCATGATTTACCTATTTGAGGCAATCATTTTGGTTATGTTAACTTCTTTGTGATGGTTTATGTGGCTTTAAATCCACGTAAACAGTTCATCGTTTTTGTTGGTTAAAAAATAATTTAGACCTTCCCACTTTTTAGGGCCTGTGAATACTCACAGGCAGAGATGGGCAGATAAAGGGAGCGTGAAAAATTAATCGTTGTGAGAATTACTACTTTCCACACTCACTTTAGCCTTTTCTCCCTCTCTGTCTTTCTTGCACCCTCTCGGCATACAAATTAGGCCCTTCAAGGTCGTTGACTGAAAAGTTTTGAATGCTGTGACTTTACAACGTGTTTAAATCACGACTTCATATGATGTTGCAGTGTGCGGGTTAGCAAAGCGATTTCGGCGTTTTAAAGTATCCGAGAGATGAAACAAAAGACGCCCCAATAAATACAACAAAACGCACTTTAGAACATACAGATTGCTTTAAAAATTGGGTTTTTAATAGAGTCTTCGAGTGGAGGAGGAGGTTGTGGACTGCATTTGAAACTGAAGCACCTGGTCCACTCCTGAAGATGTCATTATCAATTCACGGAAAGGTGGACGGTTGCACTGGTAACTGTGGTGGCATGATTTTTGAAGGGAAGGACTGTGGCCTACTTGGAAATGCGG